TTTGTTTGAATTAAATGGTAGACACAGAAAACTAGAATAAATTGCGCCTTGGGAATTCTACAAAAAATAAACTTGTATCAATGATACAGGCTATGAATTCCATTTATTATTATAAACGTTACGGCAAGCTTCTGTTTTATGCATTATTCAATCGTCGGAGTGCGCAGTTCAGGGGATTCGTTTCTATCAAATCGAGCAGAAAAACACTGGACCAATAAAATGAATCATTTGTACCGCGAGCTTATAAATAGAGAATGTTGAATGGGGGATGGAATAAAAACCGCTGAAAGTTGCCGAAGCGATCATAAATATTCCTTACATTATTAACCGACGAGAGAGACCGGCTGATACAGTCGTTGCTCGCCTACGTGAAAATTGCAAAATTATAGGAAATACATTATACCGTTTCCACCCCTCTTACCCTCAATTGGAGGGTGCCGAACAGACAGACTGCGCTGGCATTGAATTAATCGACTCTTGTTACTTATATCTCTCTAGCGAATTGGAATATTTTAAAGCAACGCCCGCGGAGAAGATTGCGGCGTGTTCTCCGCGAAAGGAGATAAATATTCTACGAAGGGAAAGCGATTAATTTCCCGAAACGGTGGGAACATCTTTTCCGTGGGAAAATTTAGCGAATGGAACGCGTGCCTTTTATAGTAGGAAAAAAGGAAAGCGAGCGAGCTATTCTCTAATATTACTGTTGGCAGAATTTAGGATGGAATGTGAGTTTCATCCACTCGAATGGGACGTAAGGAAAATTTATGTTGCTCGGTATTTAACTTTTATACTCTACTTTTCATGTTTTACTATTACATGAATTATCATCTACTGAGTAGAACCTAAAAGTGTAGAAGTTTCCCAAAAGAATAATACAAGAGAGATGATCTGAAGACTAACTTTATTTTTTACCTTAGTGTCCCTCGATCCCAAAAAATGAAAGTAAACGATCCCTACGAAGAAAGATTGTAAAAATACGAAATGATAAAGTAGGAACTTGAAGTTTCGAAAAAACAACGTGTCGCCCAGAAGTCTGCGTGGTTTATTGCCCGAGCACGCGACGTTGTAATAGCAACAAGCTATTACCAACGACTATTCCCTGTAGGAGGGACGATACTATCCAAATTGCCAAGTGGAGAGGACGCGGGGAACCAATTAAATTTAACAAATCGTCGGACAGCTCGGTCGAGGGGGAAACAAACAACCCTTCACGAAAATAACTCCTCGCTTCGTAACGTCCAGTTTCAACGTTGGAGCATTTCCGGAATAATCGGCTGAAATTTCGGTGGACGGGAATAAAACAAACCGGTGGGCCTCTCGAGTAACCGGAGCCTCCTCGTTGCCGCGCGACACGGAATCGCAAATATTCCAAGAACTCGAGGAACGCTTGGTTTCCCGAATAGAAACGAAGGTCGCCGCTCTGGGCTGTCGACCTCTGGCTCACGACGTGGGACAAAAACATGACGCACATTTCGAAATGCAGTTTTTCATCTGCACAACATTGGCATGACACGATTCATATGAAAAATAAGAGAGTCCAATGAACGGTTTAGAGTTTTAGATTTTTTTAAGGTATATTCGACATGGATAAAATATTATGTAACGTATGTTTGGTACAAAGACTCTTCAGATGGAGCAGTATTGTAGCTGGAGGAAAGAGAAAAAATAATAACCTCCTGCATTGGTGCAGGTCATTCAAGGCCATTTTGCCAATTAATGTTGCACATACCGAGTGGGTTGCCCTCAAGTCACAAACCTCGAAACGATGCTATTCGTGCTGGATGCTGCTATTCGCCACATCCTGTACACCCAATCTTTTATCCGCGACGTAAAATCAAGACAAACGTCACCGAACTGCTTTCAATTTTTAACGAATTCTCGGCGAAGGAAGGGGTGAAAGCTCCTAACCGGGAAATGTGCTCGCCGCCAATAGGGTTTTCGCATCAGGCACGTATACATGCACACTGGAAAAAAGGTTGCACGTGCATGAAACAGCTCGATCGCACCAATGGGAGGCGGGTGCACGGGCGCTTCGAAAAATACCGTGCGGGAATTTATTTATATCCGTTCATACTTAATTTAACCGGGCCTCCTGCGACAGAGAAAACGTCCGGGGCAATAAAAAGGATCGTAGAAACCCGTTACCGCGGTTATTCCCGGCCTCCACTGTCCCCGGCCGCCATTGTGTCCACATCGGTGCCCCGAGAAAACGCCTCGAAATTACACTGCTCGAAACGACTGGAGAGTGTCGGTGCTTCCGTGCAATCCCGAGCGATAATCTAAATTTTATAGATCCAGGACAATAATAAACTCGGTGCTCGTTGGTATTCAACACGGAACTCCATGTGAGTGCGGAAGGGAAAATCAAAATATCCAGTGTTTTTTAATTTGTGTTTTCTGACCGCGTTCCATCAGTGGTCCTCAACGTGTTCTCATTGAACCCGTGCCGCCCGCGTCTTTCCTGGCCAGCTTTCTGTTTGGGACCAGTTCCTCGCGATTTTCATCGAACAAATGCTTCCCCGCCGTTTGGAACCGCTGGCAATGGTATTTCTAGACCCGAGGCCGACGCACCGTGGCCCAGTTTAGCGACGCTCGTCGTTTCTGGCCTACATCGACCGTCGTGTACTTGCGCGCGATACGATACGAGGCCGTGAAAACGTTTCCCGCTAACAGACCGTGGAACGTGGATCTGCTCGTGACCCGAGATAATGCACTGAATGGCGGATCACGTGGATTAGGTCGATGAAGAACCGAATTAATTGCGCGTGAATCGCGCGACACGTGGACAACGTTGTTTCGATCCGTTACTATGCGGAGATACCATTGCTCGGAATTCCGATGACGATGGCTCTCCGATACGCGTGAAACGCATTGCCGTCGCTTCGGGAATCTCGAGGGAGTAGCCTAGTTTCGAATGTCGTGAAAATTTGGAGATATTTGAATCCACTTTGGCGTTCAATTCGAAGAATAATGGGAATCGATATCGGCCGCTTCTGTTTCTGGTGTCGTTACTCTGACAACCGAGTCCAAGAGGTTATAAAAATAAAATCCTCCCAAGAGTTCCATGTCAGAGTTTCGTAGTCGAGCCAATGCGCCGTACCGAAATTTCCTGATCGAGTTTCGGTTACGAGCCTCGCTCGAGCGCTGTGATTGGCAACGGTTGACACACGCGTGTGTAATAATAACAACGAGGATAATGGAAACATCCCCGACAAAGTGATTCGAATGCACTTTGCACCCAGACGCGTCCGTGACACGGTGCTCGTCTGCCTGGCGTGGCTGGCCGACAGCCGACGAAACCAGATTACGCGAGTGGCTCTGACAAAGTGGTCAAAGACGACCAGCGTCAGCCCATGCTCGCGACAGCTCGACGGCACGCGCTCAGGAGTGCTGTTCTCGTCGCTGGATGCCGCCACTTCTGTTTTTCTTCTTCTTCTTTTTTTTTTTTTTTTTTAAACCTCTCCTCCTCTTTTCACCCTCTGGTGCGCTCCCGGTGCGTGCGCCAGGTCGTTGATCTTTGCCCGAGGAAGCGTGCACACGGCCTTCAGCGCGTCCTTGACAGTGGCGCGCTCGTCAGCTTTCAGGGTAACAAGGGGAGGACACAGCTGACTACCCGCCGGATTTTTACGGGCTTTTGCCTGGGGACAGTCGAAGATCAACACGTGGCAAAGCGTCTGCGCCGATGGGGATTATTACAAGAAGCCAGGGGGAGAATTGTGCTAGAAGTGCGAGGTAGACAGTGGTTCGTCAGTCCTGAGGTGTTTGGGATCTCAAATTGTAAAAGAAGGGATGAAATAGTCGCGGTGTTTTAATGTTGCCTTGGGATCCTTGGATTGGTTTTTCAGTTTCAGTCGAAGGTATGGCGCGAAGGAGGGGGCCAGTGGTAGTAGATGTGTATTTTAATGGAATCGGCATTGAGAAGAACTGCAACGAATCTTAGGTCAGCCAACTAAATTGTGTTTGAAATATTCAGTTCCTCGCGTTGTAAGAATAGGGATAGAGCAGCAGTAGCGTCTAGGACCTGCCAGACCCTAGTCACTGAGAACCACAGACCAATTTCAGTCGCAGCTTTGATCAGAATCAGACAACAGAGCCCAGCGATTCCGCGTCCACAATGAGATACGTTCCACACCTTTTCAACCCGTCCTCCCTCAGGTGCAAACATAGGGTGAAGGCCTCCAGCGCCGCGGAAACGTTGAATCGCGTCGAAAAGGTGCTTCAACTTCCGTCGAAGCACGAGTGGATAAAGGTGTATTGTACGCCAGCCGCGGAACGGGCCGAGTTTTCTCTTCTCTTTCCGCGACAAACAGGCCTCGGAGTCTACTTCAGTGCCGAAGTTTTTTTTAACGATCGTTGCCGACCACTCGCGACACGGCCTTTCTTCTCGAGGAGAGATCATTGCCGGGTTTAAAAGCTGGAAACTTTGAGAACCATCCCGACGAGTGTGTTTCTTTATGGGGTAGGAACGTTCAAGAGGCGCGCCTGCGCTGGAATTTATATTTGCGTTTGTTTCCCTGGTTGGAAACAGCGGAAAATGCTATTGAATCTTCCGGAAAGGGGACTGAACAATTTAAAGAGGAAAATTAGGTCTGGGGCTGCTCTTCTGGGCTCGAGTGTATTGATTCTCGGTTGGATATGCTAGGACCGCAGCTAGTGATCCTCGATTGGATGTGATTAGAATCATGGCTAATTGCATCTCTATCGCGTGCAAGCTCGGCTTCTCTACGGCAAGAGTACCTACCTCGGTTGGCAGGGTAAAGTACACCGTTGATATTTTAGTTCAATCCGAAGATAGAACTCTGTAACTTAGAAATTTCATTAATACGAGGACGATCGTATAAAAAGAAAATGAAATTCGGTTCTAAAAATACGTAATTTAAAGGGAAATAAACCTAGCATTTACTGAACATGGGAAGAATACCATGATCCCGAAGTCTCTCCCAGAGATCCAAACACCTTTCACATCCTTTAAATCTGAGAAAGTGGTGCGTGTGTTGCAGGGTGGCGCGACGCTGAGGCGGTGGTCCAGGATGGGAGGAACGAATCGAGAAGCTCAGCCAGGCCCTGAAGTATCCTCGAGCGTGAATCGTCGCGAGGAACGAAGCTGGTCTTCGTGCGATTAGAGGAGCTCCGGAGGTTGTCAGGGAGAGGGGCGGGCTCGAGGAATCGCGGGGATCGAGATGAGCGATCTACAAGCCACTCTCGAGTTCTCCCTCGAGCTTTGCAAGTTCTACAATGTCGATCTGTTCCAGCGCGGGTAAGCGGATACGGCTTTCACGCTCGCTGGGAGCCTTCTCATGCCTCGTAATTGCGAGAGCTTAGCCTAGGCTCATCGACGATTTCCAATTTCGCAGGTATTACCAGATTCGAACCGCCCTCAGAGTGTCGCCGAAACTCCCCGTCAAGGTGGAGGTTAACCAGCTGCGGAATCGTGAGTACACTCCGCTCGCTATCGTTCGTACGTGACTTTTTCAAATATCGTTGGCTGCTAGAAATTCTGGAGGGTGCTTCGAAACCGTTGACACGGACTCGATCGGTTAATGGGAACTCGCGGAAATGGAATGAAACAATTAGCCGGTGGACTTTCCAGGGCGAGCCTTTTGTGCGGCGAGTGGAAGATAAAATTGTTACGAGGTTAATTCGAGTTATTTTGCTTTCGTTGCGGACGTAGGTTTCTATGGTTAGAGGGTTTTAAGCAGTTTCGTTCGGACTGTTATTGGATCCTTCACCGAGTCTATTCCAGCAAATTGTATTCTTTGGAAGCGCCTACCCAGTTGGAAGTTGAGCCCTCACGCAAAGTCTTCGAATCAAATCCAATGGGAGAGCCGCTCTGTAGCGGGTAAAATGACAACTATTCGTTATGAAACTCTTGATCCCGCGGTTCGTAGATCGTTGCATTCTTTTGAAGAGTCTCAGTCGCGTTCCCAACAATGGGTTCTGTTTAACGACTGTGGCCTGCGTATCTTTCGAGCAGCTGCTTATTCCGCGAGAAGAATTTCGAATGGCTTTTGTCGACAGTTTCCCAACCGCGCCAAAAGCTGACGATGAAACGCTCGAACAATCTGTATCTTTCAACTTCTTAATTGGGAATACTCATACAATCCAAGTTGGACGGCAAAGAGTAACTTCTCTCGGAGAACTCAACGGAAAGCGCACGATCTTCGCTCGCCGAGTTTGCCAAAGAACAATAAATAAAAAAGAAAAAGAAAGAAAATACAAGGAAAGCACACGCACACAAAGAGAGAAAGACAGGAGTAAGTTTCCACGAATTACATCCGCTTCGAGGGAGCTGCGACGCGTGTCCAGCGATTCAGGGAAACTTTCTGGTTGCGCTGGAATAGGGGAGGAAAGTTTTCTGTACGTTGCACTCGTCTCGGCGGAGAAAACTCCGTTGAATTCACTTACCAGCTCTCGGTTAGACAACGGGGAACTAGTTCGAGACCCACTTGGTTAGCGATAGCGTTCAGAAGTTGACTCGCGAGCACCGGAGGAACTATAGACGCCACGAAGAGATTCGATTGGATGGCGGGAGGTCCGAAATGCAGTTATTATTGTTGAGAACGAGATGGTTCTCTTTATTTTACGATATTTACGTTTTAGGGATACAGTATCTGTTAAATTTTAAGGAGATTCCAGGAGTAACAGAAGGGTGACGGAAAGGTAATCAAATTGTCTTCGAGTTGGAAAAGTTTTATCAATGAAATAATCAAAGGACTTTTTTTCGATTTCTGCCAAAAAGTAACTCAATTCTCCAAACCTGTTACACTGGAATCCTCCCCCTTCCGGAAGACCGAAACGTCCCTTCTCGTGATTTTCACCTGGCCCGAGATCTCAAACAACCCAGTGCGCTCGAGACGCTCGCGTTTGATGTATCCCAGCGAAGGAGTTACCCAGCCAAACGCGCATCAGGCTTCCAATCAAATCAGACGCAAACCCGCGTACCACTTTCGCCCAGGCTCCCTCGAGACCTCTCTTGTCGCTTATGAAGCACGGAAATCCAGAAGACGCGCGAACCGAGCCCTTTGTTTCCAGACTCGTTGGAGGCGCCCGGGACGAGCAAGCGCTTTCAGATCCTCTACAGAAATGAGGAGGTGACACTCGGCACCTCGGTCCTATTCCGGGCGCACGTGCTCGTGCACAGTCACAAGATCGAGGAGGTGCTCTCGCGCACCCACTTCAATCTGGGCGTCGAGTTATGGTTCAGCGAGCCGACGCAGCCGGAGAACATGGCCTGCGTGTCGTCTAGGTGAGCGTCTTCGTCTCGCGGATGACTGAGCACGCGAGAGGCTAGCCATCAGCCAAGAACGATCCCTCAGAAGTGATATTGCGGTTTGGGGAGCTGAAGAAGATCTCGTACCGTCACTCGAGGTCCGTGGGATAGCTCTGTCTCGTATACGGTGTCGCCCCAACCCATCGACTGCTGGCTAGTTTTATGTGTGAGTGTTACACGCGGTGGTTTCCCAGCGAGTCAGCAGTCGGTGGACGAAGGAGATGTATGGAGCTCGAAGTGCTTAAGATCAGGGCCAATGTTTGCAATTTTTTTTTTTTGTTGGGGGTGTAGAGGGACTGGATAGTTGTGTATGGAAAGTCAGGAGTTTGATCTGTAGGAGGGTATGTTTTGAGAGCAATTTTGAGGGGGTTGTTTATTGGAGAATTTTTATTGGTGGCTTAGAGTTTGTCTAGATCTTATTGTTGATTGTATTAAAAGATATTGAGTTTAGAGAAAATGACGATGGTGGTCTGGACGACGAGAAGAGGCTAGTGTCTAAAAAAGAATTAGAGTGGATAGTTCCGTTTGAAAAACATCGATGACCTAGAAATGTATAAAAAGTATGTCCTTGAGGGGAAACATTTTTCCCCTGTTCGCTGTGTTCGCTCCTTCACTTTAACTTTCTCTTGAACAATTTTTCCGTTATATCCGTAAACAACGTGGATATTTCAGTATCCCCGTTTAATTAGTTCACTCTGTACATCGAAATCGCTTCTCATCTGTTATCAAATTTAGGGGATCAAATGACCCTTTAAATCTGTGAGTTGAAAAATTGTTCGATCGTAAAATTGAAAAACAACATTAAATACGAACGCTCCCTTTATAAGGTTTTATAACTCTGTTTCTTTTAGTATCATTCAATAGTTACGATGATTTTGCACCCTTAATAAGAATGTCTGACTTTCAACAAATTTCCATGTCTGCAAGGTTGCATCAGAATGGCTATGCAACAGTTGGGCAATATTCCTTACGAGTTGATAGACCTTTCCTAGAGTACACGATATACCACATAAAATCAATGGACTGCTCATACACAAACGATGATCGTCGCGTTAATTAATCTCACCTCTGTAGCCTTACAAACTCTGTTTCTTAATGAATACTACGATAGACTTACCTATAAAATTCTACAAAGGAGCGATTAAGTAATTTCTAAACTTTTAAAATTGGATATCTGGTAGTAATGTAGTTAAAGTTATGAATAAAAGTTCTCCAATAAACGACCCCTTTTTCCGAATCGCTCTCAGCATCAGATCGAACTCCGAACAAAAATTGCAAAGTTATCGATTAATCAAGTTATCTACTTCTTTATTAATGACGAGCCTTTTCGTTTCTCGAAAGGGAGAGTATAACCTCGCATTCTTAACCAAATTTTGCTCGAAGACGGCGAACTTTCCCACAGACCTAATAGATGGAGGGATCGATAACCTTGGCCGCGTGCGTCTTACACGTGGAAGGTTTCACGAGGTTCGTTTGCCTTCTACTTTGTAGGGCGTTGCAACTGAACTTCGCGCCCACCAAGGGGCTTCACTATCATCTGCCGGTGCTCTTCGACTATTTTCATCTCGCCGCTGTATCCATCACGATCCACGCCTGCCTGGTAGCTCTTCATCAGCCCTACATCAAGTTGGTATCAACTTGCTTCCTTCTCTCGACCCTTTCGGTGCTGTCGGCTTTTTCGAACGCTTGGATCGGTGCAGTCTATGCCAGAACCAGCGGTTGCTTTGCGATTACTTGTGTGATAATCACCCAAACAAGTATCGAAGTGTTGTTAAATAAAAATAAGATCGTATCGATTATTAAAGGTTTTCTAAGAGGGGAGTTAGGATCTTTTTGATCTATTTTCGAGCCACAGCACCGAAGGGATTAATTGTCGGGACGGTATACCGTCACTGATTGGAATTATTATTTTCGCTTTTCATAGCTCTAAAATTTTTCTGTTTCACACAGGAAAAGCATACTTCATTACGTGCAGAGCTGGTGAGTTTAAAAAAATAATACACTAAATGAAATAAAATGAATGATCTACGAAGAAACAACTGTTATTAAAATGCATGTTTAACATCCAGTATGAAAATAGAAAATAAAAAGTACTACATGAAATAAATTCAAATATATTTTCTCTTTCTGAAAATATGAACGAACGTCTCTCGATCAAATTTCGACTCGAGTTTCGTTCAATGGCCAAATAATTTGCACGACAAATAGCCGCAGCGTCTATTATGTTTGAACGAAAACCCAGAATTGTTAATGAAACGAGCGATATGCCCGCAGTGCTCCGCGCGGAGGGAAGCCATGGCTGCAATTTAAACAATCCACGGCGAACGGAGATAACAATGCCGCGCTGGGAAATATCGTGAGTTCACGCCCGAGCCTTTGAAGTTTTTAATCGATCGAAACGAGAAGAGCCGAATATTACCAGTTCGCGATACACGGGATTTGTTGCAGGAGACCACGACGAGATGCGTCGGATCGGCCACGAAGATCCAGCACGCGAAGCTGGTTCAACAGGAAGTGATCAGGTTACTTCTGGCCGCGAGGGAATCTTTGCTCAACGATTTAGCTGATTTAGCGCGGCTTCTGCCTTCTTGCCAGCAAAGGGTGCTCGAGTTCTTTCAGAACACGCACAAAGAAATCATCAAGGTCTGCGCGCCCACGGATCGTTAACGTCTTTTCATCGTGCGGGGCCGTCTTCTTCGGGGAATGTGACGCGTGTTCCGTCTTGTTGCAGATGATGGACACCGAGGAAACCGATATCGCTCAACTCTGCGCACAAAACATTGTCCTCTGGCAGCACTTCTTGGAGGCTTTCTCCGGACGCGAGGCCGTTCATCAGCATCTCGCCAGGATCCATCATCAACTGAGGGTGAGTTTCTCGTCCTTCCTTGATTTCTGGTCACAACGTGACTCTGGATAGATTCATTCGTCGTTAGTTAAATCACCACCGAGATTAACGAATACTGCCGATAACTCCTAAACAAGTGTTCAAGATAGCCTGACACCTATACAAATGACACTCCAGCCTTTTAGCTACCTTAAAAATCGACTTGCTAACCTTGCATCGCATTAATTTCAGGTGAAACGTTTCGCGGAAGGGTTCTTCGTGCTGGAAAATCCCAGGACGTCAGCCTGGGGTTGCTACGACGCGAATTATCAATCTTATCAGGCTGTGAGCGAGGCAGCCCGAAGATCGCGGTACCTGGCGGCGTTACCACCCCTGCCTGTCCACTGTCCAGAGCTGGACGGAGACCTCCACTCGCTTCCTTTGATCTTCGAGGATCAGTACGTGAACATGAAGCAGAGACACAGGAACAGCGGTAGGTGTCAGTGTTAGGTATTAAAAACACAAATATAAATTTACATACCCATGAACAACATCCGAAACTACTGCAAGGACGACAGACACCTTCGAATTTCTGATTTACTTTTCAGTACCCGGCATGGACGACTGCAGTTGCGGGATGGCGGCGATCCTGGAGTCCCGATCTATGGGAATTTGGTCCCCCAGGAGCGAGGGGGCGGCCCAGGACATTGCTTCCATCCAGGGTCGTCTGACGTTGACTCCCTCCACGCTGCCCGCCAGGCACAGCAAGTCGTTGGACCAGTTGGGTCCGGAAATCACGCCGGTACAGCCACGGACATCGCCGAAGACTCTCCCCAGGTCCATCTCAACGCAGCTGTTCCCCAGGCAGAGAGGTGGTGCTCGAAACGCCACCCCTCCGGCGACTGTCCCTTCCAGAGGAAGACAGAGATCCATAGCACCGTCCAGTAACACGCTTTTCCCGCCTTCGGGGCAGCAAGCCTGCTCGGCGCCGAATCCATCCCTTGGCTCGACGCCTGTGGTACCCCTGCCGCGCGCAAAGTCCACGCAGATGCTGGTGCTGAACCGTCAGCAACAAGGGGATCCCCAGACCACCTCCATCACGTCACTTTTAGCAGCGATGTTCCCCGAACTGCCACCTGGAGGACAGCTGCCGGGTTATCGACCGTCGAGCAAGTCCTGCGAGCAGACCTTGACGGTGCCTCCCTTTGTGGGAGGGATGGACCATGGTCAGATGACCGATTGCTGGACCGAAAACAAGACTGCCAGCGTTGCCGAAGGTATGAGTGAGTATTTTTCTCACTCGCTGGTTCAATTTAACTGGAGAACCTTGCTACACCGCGTGGCTGATGAAAGAATATTCCCTTCCAGATTATCACTCGCTGGATACGAGGAGGATCCGCCTGGAGCCGCGCAGTCATCGTTTAGCGACGCGTCAGGCTCTCTCGAGCAACGATCAAAACAGCTTCCTACCTGAGAAGTCGAGCGTCAACGGCGATGGCTTCCTGCAAGAGCAGCCTCTTCACACAGCGACTCTAGACAGGATCACGTACAGGGGGAACTCGAGGAAGCAGGGTCATCAAGCTGGAGGCAAATACAGTCAAACGAACGGGCTGGAGTCCCGTAGATACCACACGATAGGGAAGACCGGGCATGGTCAACGTACGCGCGAGATCCAGGACTCGATGAACGGCGGGGGCGTCCCGAGCAGCCATTCGCTGATGGTGGATCCTTTGTACAAACGATCCAACTACTCTCCCACGACCACCGACTCCTTCTTCTACCGCACGAACGGCACCAGCGGACGAATGCACGGGGAACAGCCAGAGAGACCAAGAAGACCCAAGAGTACGGAGAGACTGATGGACGACGTCAATGCCACCGAGTACTCGGACTTCCGCAGAGAGAGGCCAAGAAGGAGGGACGAAAGACCTGGGGTCAAGTCCCCGCGAAACGGAGTGTCGCCCTGTTACAGCGAGGAGAAGCTGAGAAGGCAGCAAATCGACGACAAAACAGAGGTAACCAATGAGATGTTCTACAAGGTGATGAACGCCATGTCGGAGCCTAGAAAGGAGCATCGGACAGAGAGGAGAAAGAACAGGCACGGGAGGAGGCCACATTCGGCGCCTGTCCTCGACGTGGACCATCCGAACGACGATGGCAAGAAGTGCAATCACAGGAACAGGAAACCTGCTCCTCCCCCACCTGGCTACCAGGACCCAGCGGTGGCACCTCTGCCCAAGTATCGTCATCCGCCTCCTGCGCCTACCACGAACGTCCTGGAGGTGGAGAACAACAATAAAATTATTCTTAAGGTAGGATTTGAAGTGTGGCGTTTACCTTTGGAAATGAACATTTTATTACCAATTAAGTTAACGGCTTAATCCAGGCCTAGCTAGCCACCACGTTCCCTGCTCTCTAACCATCTAGATCGAGACACGTAGATATTAGTTTCCATGGTGTCTAATCTTGTTGCAGATCGAGCCCATAAAATCGCCCGTGGAAGCGCCGGCGACCAACGGCACAACGCCGTCCGACACGTCAAGCACCGGTGCACCGCCGCCCAACACGAAAAGACTGAGATGCGCCAGCGTGCCAGTGGCGCAGAACAAGGTCGTGGTGCCACGAAGCGCGGTGTCATTGCCTTGCATGCCGATACGCGACAGCAAGGACAGCCTTAGCAACAATCTTCCCGTCATTCCGAATCCGCACAGCCCGCCGTCCAGCAGGCCCAGCAGCCCGACCACGAGCTCCAGCTCCAGCAACCTCACGTCCGAGTGTTCCGGCTGGGTCAGTAGCGGAGACACGTCGAGCTCGGAACAGCGTCGCAACGCGAAGCTGTCCAGCGAGCAGCTCAGACAAAAGCTGTCGAAGATCGTGCCCAGGAAAGAGAGGCCACCTGCCAAGGAGAACATCGAGGAGCACTCGTACGAGGAGGTTCGACTTCCACCTCCGAAGATGTTCCAGGACGAGCCCCCACCGCCGGAAGAGTTTCGCGATCCGCCTCCCGTCATCGACAACCCTCTGTACCACGTCTACGAGACGGCGAAGCCTGCCAGAAGCCCGAAGCAAACGAAAACGGCGCCGTGCAGTCCTCAGAAGAACAGGGACAGGGACAGGGACACCGCTTACGGTGGCAGGGACATCTGCCTGGACTGCTACCAGGAGGGCAAGGAACTCTTGCAGTCCACCCAGGACGACTCGATCAACTTCAAGAAGTGCAAGGAGGAATTCAAGCGTCAGATGAGCTTCTCTGGAAAGATCTACAGGTGCGGCCTCTAATTTGCCTACGGCGAAACTCCTGAATTCGTTTATTCTCCTGCATCGATCGACCCTGAGGAATACTAGTACCCAAGGAACGATAGTTTTCTTTCTCTCCTTCGCCTTCGTTCGCCGTTTCGTGACGCTTTCGCAGTTTGGTTTATCGTTTCTTTACGTTTCTCGTCGTCTCTTTATGTTTCGTAGTTAAGTTTCTCTTTGTCTACCTTATCCACTTTAGAGAACGAAAGGAAGCGCAGATGCGTTTCCATAAGCGCGCCCATTCCCTTGGATACGGTGACCTCCTGACCCCGTCGTCGGTTAAACCTCTAAGATCCAATGTGCCTCTTAGTGACTATCCGACCCTGGCCTCGACCATGCCGTACTTCCACATCAGCAACGAGTACAGGCTCTTCTCGCCGGAGGGGGCGCATCTCATCATCTGCGTCCACGGTCTCGATGGGAACCCTGCCGATCTCCGTCTCATCAAGACCTATTTAGAACTCAGTCTTCCCGGGGCCCATCTAGATTTTTTAATGTCTGAGAGGAATCAGGTGAGTTAAGAAGCTTGTCTAAATTAAATGACAGGTTTGATCAGGTTTCTCTTCTCGTGACTAGGCGAACAAGTTCTTTCGCAAAACTACATGTTTGCATTTGTCGAATAGGGTGACACTTTCTCGGACTTCGACAGGATGACCGATCGACTAGTGTGCGAAATACTCCATCATACCGTGACGTCGGGCCTGAACCCGACGAAAGTGAGCTTCATCGGACACTCTTTAGGGACCATCATCATACGCAGCGCTCTGACGCGGCCAGAACTGCGACCGCTGCTACCGCGTTTGCACACATTCCTCAGCCTGAGCGGGCCACATTTAGGCACCCTGTACAACACCAGCGGATTGGTTAACGCAGGTAACGCGAACAGAATCGAGAACCGCTGTTAATCTGTTGTGAACATCTTCAAACAGTTACCTTGAACCCTGTCCAGGCATGTGGTTCATGCAGAAGCTGAAGAAATCCGGCTCGCTGCTGCAGCTGGCCATGAAGGACGCGTCCGACGTCAGGCAGTCCTTCATGTTCCGTCTCAGCCAGAGGAGCAATCTCGAGAAGTTCAAACACGTCCTTCTGTGCGGTAGCGCGCAGGATCGCTACGTGCCGCTTCATTCCGCGCGGATAGAGCTCTGCAAGGCCGCCGTTCGGGATTCGACAGATCAAGGTAATCTGAAATTCTAGAAATTCCATCTCCATCACTTTACACAATATTCGTTCAAGCAATGACCGGGAAATGAATTTCAGCTGTTCGAAAATAAAAAGATTTTCAATCTTAAAACTTGTTTCCTTTCGCTTAAATCTAAATTTACCTATGTTCTAACAAAGGCTATCACAGCATTCGAATCGTTTTAATTTCTTTCTTTCAGGCGCAGCGTATCGCGAGATGGTGCACAACATCCTGTACCCAGTGATGTCCACCAGCGGGGTGAGTCTGGTGAGGTACGACGTGCACCACGCGCTACCAGCGACGGCGAACGCCCTGATTGGTCGAGCCGCCCACATCGCCGTCCTCGATTCCGAGCTTTTCATCGAGAAGTTCCTGCTGGTGGCTGGCTTGAAGTACTTCAGATAAGGAACGGACTACCTAGCGACTAGGGGAAAATTAGGGACGTTATTGTAATAGCGGGATAGCCACCGGAGAACGAAGTGCTCGGGCGTACCGTGGATTAGGATTAATTAACACGAACCTGCTGTCGACAACTGCTTCGCTTTATCGTCTACACTTCTTTTTCGCGATCAAGCTCGTCTTCTTCCCTCGACGCGAAAGCGAAGCAGTTAAACGTTTCTATTACAAGGAACACGGCACGCGAACACCTCGATAACAGTTTCTCTCGTTAAGGTCACTTTGTATTGGATGGACCACTTGAGGTGACACCTTGGATTTGGCTGAAAATTGAATGGTAGGCTTTAAAGGTGTTCAAACTTTGACTAAAGGATTTTTCGAGGTCTTGAGAATTGTTGATTTAACTGCTTGAAGAATGACGAATAGTTCGGATGAACTATGCGTCAGAGTTTGTTGGACACCAGAGCATAAGATTTTACGAACTGGTAAAATGAACAAATTCTCGATACCTCGAAGAATGCTTCAACGTGTACATGTCTCAGAAGAGTAGTTTCTTCGATTCCAATCAAGTCCATGTTATACCGAGGAGTGTCCAGTTTGGCATGAAGTGATCTGTTAGATTCCTACGCGTTGGTCTATCGTCGCCAGCCCTGGAATACTGCTTTTACGCATTCATCAGTCATCGAATCATCGCACCATCGAAACCAAATGGACCTATGCCTGCGCGAGAAACGGGCCTACTTGCAGCTTGTGCTCATGATTCTCTCTAGAAAGGGGAGCTGGGAAGGGTCGTTAGATAGCGAGGGGTGGTTCGACCAGACGCGTTGGTTGCTGTTCTAGAACGATGATACTTTCGATGTTACCGAACCTCCATGTCAGTTTTATCGAACGAACATATCAACAGAATATCGAAGTTTCTTATAAGCAATTTGCGAGAAGACTTCAATTCAGACCTTCCTGAAGAGTACGTTCTATTTTCTTGGTCTATCACTCGCACACCCACAAGTATTTTAACTCGTTGCTTAAAGGTTGAAGTTAAGTTCTTCACTCCCTCAACCACGAAGGAATTAATTCTTCGGCGAAGAGATACTTAAACCAACAGTTGATTTTACTTTTCCATGTTCCGGATGTCACCTCGAGAATAGCTCGAGAAAATGAACCGAAAGGTCCAGAATCAGGGCTGGGTTTAAATCAATCAGACCAATCGCTCCTAACCGGGCCCACTCCCAAGGGGACATTTTTAATATATCATTTCACTGAAGCAGACCTCTGCTGTGAACCTGGGGGCCCAGCTGAAAATGTTTCCAAATCGGGTTGTGGCAGCTAAAGCTGGCCTTGAATCTTCCATCTACGAACACCTACTTTCTGACCTAACACCTGCACCCTATACTCAAACCTGAGAACCTGTAAACTGACTTGACAGGTGAAACAGGTAACAAATCCTCCAGCAGTCCTCGTTCACCAGCACGTGGATGTCGAACCGTCTCGAGCACTTGTTAAAGATCGACTCAAGTATCGAGTTCTCGGCCTATCGCGAAGCCTGGGGCTGGCGAGGGTATCGCCGTCGCGTCAAAAGTCATCTATCCCACGAACACTGAAGAAACGCGAACAGACACGCGTTTCTCTTCGCTTTCTCTTTCTAAGGAATCGAGAGAACAGGGACACGTCGCCCGACAGGATTCACCGTGGCGCTCTTCGGCCCAGTGTAAAAAGCGTCTAGGGTCCAGACACGGTCCGAACCCTAGGAAAGTTACGAAACGTATGTCAATTGTTACTCTCAGATAAGTGTGAGTGCGTGCGGTGTGAGGAGGATGGATGAGACGCGTTACGTGAGAGAAAGAGAGTATTCTAATGTAAACAAAGAAAAAAAAAAAACAAAACAAAACGGCAATTGTGGGAAGTCAGTGAGAAAAAGGGGAGGACAATTCAGGCGTGGAGAAGTAACGGCGATCGGATTGGGACGAGAACGACTGTTTGGAGTGGTGAACGTTACCTTTGGCGGGTGCCAAAGGCGAATTGGAGCAACAGTGAGGTGAGACGAAAACGGACACAAGTGACTACCATTTCAGGTATATGAAATCCCTCCAATACTAGATCTCAATTGCTCAGAACAATCTAAATAAAAAAAAAAAAAAGAAGAAAATTAAAAAAAAGTTATACATTATAATCGTAATCGAAGCAACGAAGACGCGTGGCATCGCGTCTGTCGATTGCTAATCGTGAAATATCATCGAAAGAGTGGGAGAGAGAGAGGACGTGTGTGATTATGATTTCTCGATTCTCCCCAAAACGGCGACGAGAGGAAAGACGAAACGTCGACAGTAAGACTCGCGGTACAATGCATGGCAATTTTGGTGTTCGATGTGGTAGTTTCGCGAAAGTAACGCCTCACAGTTCTTGTTCGATCCGTTTCTCGCCGCGAGAAGCATGTCTTTCGTTGAAGTCGCGCCCGATCGGCATCGTTCAACTTGACGTACGAGCTCGATCCGAGTCCTTAAGAAAATATACGTCGATGTTAGGTTGCGTTGTGTACTTCAGAAGGTGTTTTCTACGATCTTTTGCAACCTTTGAATTGATTTCCAATCGTCTTTGAATTACGAGACTGATGACGAGTCTTCGGGTGACTTATTAAGTAGTCTAACGCCTTTGTTTCTTTTAACCGATCTCGCGATGTCGTGAAAGTTTCTGGCGTGGGGGACTCTGGCCAGGTTGAACGTGCTCGGAGCGTTCCGCACGACATTTTTCGTTCGCGATTATTACTTTGCCGACACAGTAGAGAAAAATTGCACCGTTCGTACAGCGATTCTCCGCACAATATCGTTAAGTGTGAACGCACTGCGCCCAATGTAAGCGTTTACCCGCGCAATTGTATACAACGTACACGCGTGTACGCCTTTACACCGTTTAAGAAACGCGCACACCCACGGAATCGTGCATTGTGCACCGCGTGTCGCGTTTGTTGTACAGGATGTCCCATTTAGATCGGCCCTCTCGAATATCTTTGAAATTATCATGAGACTAATGCTTCGTATAAAATTTAATTGTTTCAAAGAAACACTCTGTGTTTGAAATATTTGTTGGTGTCGACAGTTTCGGAGATACTGGGGCAAAACGACTTAAATTGGACATTCCGTAGATATCGTCGTATCTATCGCGAGCACAGCCTCGCCAGGACCACAATCAGGCGCTCTTCGCTCGCCTGAAGCTGTGAAGCACAAAAAAGTCCTCGAAACTTTTCTCATTCAACCGTAAGATCGCGTCGTTTCGATTGATTTTTCGCTTTACCGCTCTATCGATAAATTAATCGTCGAACATTCGTGTGGTTTAGAAACGAAGCGGATAAAACGACGCTTATCGAGCAGCGTTCCATTCGTGTTCTATATCCAGGTGTCTTTTCGATTTAAGCGCGCCGAATGAAATCTTTTCATTGGGGGACGAACCATCTCGTTTTCTTACCAATTTAATTCCAAGTATTTCATCGAGGAATTGAAAAGTTTACAATGAGGTTACATCGTTTGAACGATAGTTTCCATCTTCAGAGTCTCCCATTTTTCTGACGAGTAACCTTCCATCTCGGACTTTGTTTAGAACGCTATAAACCTCTCTAATATAATATTTGAACCCTCCGAGAACGATCGAATTTGCTTCTCCTTCGATTCTAAGCCACTCGTCCCCACTCATTTACTATACAAGTGATCGCACACTATCGTGTATACCGTTTTTGTAATGCGTTTATATCTAACGATTATGAACGAACCAACGTTCAGGGTTCTCGGAGGACCTGTTAGAAGGCTGGCCAGCAGGGACCGCGTACCCCATGCCTGACCCTTACAGGGGCCTCGAATTTACACGAAGAAGGCAGCAATGGAATTTGTACGCTCTCATAATCAGTTCACGATCTGGCGACAGCAATAGTTTCGATGCGAAGAGTAATATCTGGCTGTCTTGGCTCTGCTTGATTAAATCTGATGCTATCGATCACTTCTACGCTAAATATTTCAGCAAATATTGCGAGAAGCAGTCACGCGGCTAAGGACATAATTCTTCAATGTTTCATAAAAAGGGCTCCAGACAATATAGCGATACAACAATGCTGAAAATGAAAGAAAGGAAAACGGTTAACTCGTGTATTGAAATCGGGTAAAAGCACTCATCGCTTCTTTTTCATATCTCCACGGTATCTTGAAGTCAGACAACTGTTTACTCCATCCCTTTTTGCCAAACCTGAAAGAATTATGTTCAACTCGAGCGCGCGAAACGATTGTCGATCGAACGATTGCGCGTTGCTGCGAGTAGACGAGCGAAACGAAAAAGAACTATTCAAACGATGAAACCGAGGTATCAGAAAGAAAGTTAGCTTTTGAAGGAGAAGGTTTGTAGTTGCAACGTCGACGAATTAACAGCAATGTATACACTATACATAACACATGGATACATATGACGAAAAGATAAAAAAAAAAAAAACGTGAATAAATCTACTTATACATAAAACGACATAGATTAATGAAAAACAAAGTGTCTGGTATTGTTATTGTTACCGTTGATATAATGAGAAAATTTTACCTCACCGAGCTTGATTGTCGCTTTCGCAGAGCGATTGAGTGTGTAGACGCAAAGGTTTTTTACTTTAATAGTGGCTGTACTATTGTAACGATCGCGAGGCATCTCATACTTAAAGAAATTTCTAACTATAATTAATCTCGACGAATTATTATTCCTATTACGATAAAGAATAAAATTTTTATTTATCAACGATCAATTTTTAAGTGGCGATCACACCCCCTCCGAGAGTAAACGTAATTGTTAGTGGGTAAATTTATGTAAATAATTGTTACAATAAAATATTAATTTACCTTTTGTTTTTAATAAAATTACGTATGTTTCATTACCTGCGTTTCTAGTAATAATTGCGCGAGTATATAAATGGGCAGGTCGAGGAAGAGTCGACATAAGAATTAATCGTTAAAAGATAAAAGAATCATTTCGTAAACGGTATACGTTTATTAGTTTAAAATAACAGTGCGAGGAACATTACGATCCCGACCAGAATCGTATGATGATCAAGATACACGTGCAGGGACGAGGTAAAAGTTTTCGTAGAAAAAAAAAAATAAACAATTTGACTCGGTTGCATCAATCGTCAAAAAGGCAAAATTTCCGAGCAACCGTGCATGTGTATCTTTATCCTGAAAAAAGAAAGAAGTCTGAACGGGTCGAAATTATTTAAAGATACAATTAAAAGCTTGAAAACAGTCGCTAATACATTAATCGGATAAAATGGCTCGTGCCGAAACCGTGTTTCGCATGTAAATTTCACAAGATACAAGTGTGTCCTATAAAAAGAATAAATAAATAAAGAATGCGTAATAAAACCCCTTAGAAAAAATCGATTTAGTTAAAATTGAAAGACTCGTTCACGGTTAAAATCCGCGTAGTGTTTCACGCGACAATTTTCTTTAAAACGTATTATAAAAAAAAAGACTTCAGCTTGCAAAATGTGTCATATTTGAAGCTCTTAAACGCACGGTGACCCTTTTATTCCCTTACGGTCAAATATATTGGCAGGCACGAAAACGACATTGCTTGAATTAACGCTTAATTCGTTTCTACACGAATGCATCCGTATCCTGCACCAGCATTTAATTTGAGACTCAAGATGTCTACAAGCCAGAGAAGATTTCGATAATCAATTAAAACAATATACAATTTTCTAAGAATATTTGCTACGAAATGGTGCTGCACAAATACCGAGCATTCGTGTCTCTACCATCTATCGCAAACGATCCTATTTTTTTCTGTAAATTTTTTTAAATTCTAGGCAATTAAACCGTGGGAATTATCCTAAAAAATTGCCACCACCTCCAGCCATTTCGTTCACGGCACTGACCTCTCCTTGAACGTGGTCCTCGAAGGTCACAGCTTCATCGTCTTCGACAGAAGTGGTCCCATTCGATTCCACTGCTCCTTCACCTCCCTGATTGCTTTTCTCCTGATTTTCGGATGACGCTTGCCCTGAAACGAGTAATACGTACTTAATTAATTCATCAGGCTGTACCGAAGACCACACAGTGGTCATAACGAAGAAAAAAGCAAGGAATATTTATTTATTTGCAATTTAGTATGAGTTTTATATCATTTTACGATCTAGTCGTTCAAAATCGCGCCAAACGACAGTATAGCCATCTCGCGGTCAAAAGACCGAACTAAAATTCCGACCTCCGTACAGCGCACCACCGGGAAAACGCCCAAGTTTGTCCTCAAATTAGTTCCAGCTGTTGCCGCTAGATGGCGACAGCAAGTGTCGGTAACAAATAGTACATGGCGCCATCTACGGCAAAACGCCCAAGCTTGTTGTCAAATTAGTTCGAACTTTCGCACCTAGATGGCGACAGCAAGTGTCGGTAACAATTCGTAAATGGCGCCATCTACGGCAAAACGCCCAAGCTTGTTGTCAAATTAGTTCCAACTGTCGAAGGTAGATGGCGCCATTTATCGATTTTTTTTTTAGCGGCGCCATCTAGCGTCGAGAGTAGACACTAGTTTCACTACAAACTTGGACGGTTTGCCGTAGATGGCGCCATGTACTATTTGTTACCGACACTTGCTGTCGCCATCTAGGTGCGAAAGTTCGAACTAATTTGACAACAAGCTTGGGCGTTTTGCCGTAGATGGCGCCATGTACTATTTGTTACCGACACTTACTGTCGCCATCTAGCGGCAACAGCTGGAACTAATTTGAGGACAAACTTGGGCGTTTTCCCGGTGGTGCGCTGTACGGAGGTCGGGATTTTAGTTCGGTCTTTTGACCGCGAGATGGCTATACTGTCGTTTGGCACGATTTTGAACGGACTGGATCATAAAATTATGTGAAACTCGTATTAAATTCCAAATAAATAAATATTCTTAGCGTTTTTCGTTAGTTTGACTACTATACGGTCTTATGTACTGTTCGATGAAGTAATACAATTATGTAACAGTGCTTCAATTGCATTGCTTAATTAGTATATGTATATAGCAATGGGATAGTGATCCCTTGTAACAAAGTTTCTAAGCAAACATAGCTCGCCAGTTATATTAATTTTATATGTAAAATACTATATTACACCAACCTTGACCAAGATCTCGAGCTTTGCTGTGGTAGGAGTACTCGCGTGCGTTCGAAAGACCAGCGATAACGCATGCACTTATGGCACTTCGACTAAGATTCATTGCCGATGAGTCGTACCATTCATTGCTGTCCGGGTCGTAACACTCTGCGTATGCGATCGTCGAGGAACCTGATTGTTTTCATACGCAATTAGACCTCTGTTATTAATTGTTCACTCGAGTAAATTATACGTGAGAATCAGTTCGACAGATTTAATTTGCTCGAACGATGTTTAAATCCAGGGTTGACGAAGTAAATATTCGATTTTTCGATTGGAATTTGGAGTTTAAATGGAGATACTGTAACCAATATTTTATCGAGCGATTAGTTTACCATTGAATCCACCTACGACGAAAATCATGTTGTCCAGAATGACCGTGGCGAAGTTGCTCCTAGGACAGAACATTTCTGGCACAGCGTGCCAGTCCTCTGAGTGATTCGGATTGTAACGTTCCCCTACGGCCAGGGAAGATCGATATTGTAACGAGACGTTAAATTTTACGCAGGAGAGCATTCCTGGACGATAGGATTCGAACGAGCAATTCCTACGCGACAGTAAGCGCTCGAGGGGCATTTCTCTATAATAAATGGAACTCGTAATTTACTGTAATTTAGTAATGCAGCGATGGAGAACTTCATATGGACAACTCATAGATACATTAATTTATAATACAAAGTTCCAGGTAAATATCGATCTTATGCTAATAGGATGATTAATGCTTATCCCAAACAAAAGATAGTTAAATTCAGTAAAATCTTGTCAAAGAACTCGACTAATTTACCCACGTTTCATTTAAACGTTGAGTCGATGGGACTCATGGGAAGCAAACAGGTGAACCAAAGACCCGAATCCGATCTTTCAGGTGGTAGATAATCGATTAATTACCAGAACTGAGCCTGGTGAGTCCGTCGAATCCTCCCAGAGCGTAGAGACTGTGGCGAAATGCAACCAGCGACACACCGGATCGGGGATTGATCATCGGATGAATGTAACTCCATTGATTGGTCTCCACGTCAAAGACCTCTGCGGAATTCAGAACTTCGCGGCCGTTGAAACCGCCGACGATATAAATCTTGTCCTGCAGGGCTGCAGCGCTGGCGTCTGACCTCTGTTGATGCATCGGAGGTATCATCTCCCATTGATTCCTCTGCGGCTCGTATCGTTCGCCGGAGCTCATCCTTGTGCGGCCGTTGAAGCCGCCGAGAGCGTAAACCTTCCCTCCTAATTGCGAAACGATTCGTTTTAAACGACGTTCGCGCGTCGCGCATTCGTTGCGCCCATTAAACGAGTCAGAACATTCTAATATTTTCTCGTTAAACTTCGACACTGTGTGCAGGGAGGCTCGATCTCGAATAGGGTGCAAAAGGCTTCCTCGTGAGTCGAGGTTTTATATTGTAACCGGCCACGTTCTTGCACGATTCTGTCGTGACCCTAGAGTCTGAAAAAACGAACAAGTCCTGCAAGAAGATGGCCATTATTCGAAGTCTGGTGTCCAGAGTTCTCAAGACATCGTACAAGAAGATGGCTACGTTGTTCATACAGCCGACAGCAAATTAAATATCCCCGGGATACTGAATCTACATATATCCAGTCTTGTAACAGCGGTGTTCCCCCTATCCCCGGAGGCTCACCATGAGTACAAACGCTGACGTAACACCTGGCGTGATACATGCACGCTCGTTCACGCCACTCCTTGGTGAGCGGATCGAAGCATCTGACCGTGTTGAAGTGCTGGTTGCCGTCGAAGCCGCCGATCATGTAGATGAGATTGTTCAGAGCGCAGATTCCGTGGTAGGCCCTCGGCGTTGCGTCCGTGCTCACTGATAGAAACCATCTGTCAGCTCTGGAGTTCACATCACACACCATCCCGGTGAATCTCGGCGCCCAATCACGGTTCTCGCCGCGGGAAATCGTTAACGCGGCGTTCGTAAATCGGTACAACAACGCGATAACCACTAATTCAACGCGGATAGTCGGTAGAACATTGCTCGAGCACCTCGTGTCGTAGGTCTCCGCGAAGTTCGTCGGCGAACCGGCGCTCCAGCCACCGATGACGAAGAGGATCTCGTAGGGGATACGCGGCCTAGCTAGAGGGTTCTTCAGGTCGACCTCACCGACGCCTTGCCTTGCCTCCTGCTCGCTCAAGTACGCGTTCGCCTGGATGACCACTTGCTGGCATTGCTTGGGAGATCGGGGACGATAAGGTGAGGGAACGAAAAACTGAGAATATACTGATAAGCTACAAAATGGAGGATGGAGGACAGTTTGTGGTAAAAAGTACTTACCGGAGAAAACTCGCGATGCATAAAGAATGTATATTATAAAAATACTTGGAAATAAATATCATAAATAAGAAAATAGTTTGAAGTAAAAGGAAGAGGGATATTAAAGCAGAGCATAGAAGCGAGAACAAGAAAAGGTGGTTGAAAAAAGGGGTTCTTGAGAAAGGAATTTATGAATTTTAATTAAAAGCTGAAAGACGTAGGGTGTGAAAAATAGGTAGAAATGGAGTTGAAACGTCGATTGAACGCAAGGCCATCCTTTTTGTTCGGCTAGCGGATAATCGAGCGTCGCGAACACTCACTTCATCCTCCTCGACGAGCCTCCACGCGAGAACACTGTTCGTGAAAAACGGGTAGCTCATCAAACCGTAGCGCACGCATTTCAAGAGTCTCGGTAAACAGGCCTTTCTTTCTTCGACGTTGTGCTCCGTCCAGGTTTTAACGGCCTCGAAAACTATTTCCTCGCTTTTAACGTTCAGCTCGTCGTCACGTAGTATCGCCTCGAGTTCGTCGCTGGTGAGCTCTTTGAATTCCGTGCTCTCTTGCAGTATCCGCTTAAAGTGATGACGAATGTACTTGCGGCCCTTCTCTTCCAGGTCGTGGCAGAAATAGTGACGGGCGAATTTAAAGATACCTAAGTTGACACAATTCAGCAGTCTCGCCACGAAATGCTACCATTTGCACGGAATGTGATATTTTTTTGTTTATAACACCATGGAACGCGAGTAGTTGGCCTGTCTGAAAATCGCGATTGAATTCTTCGGGTCGGTACGAGTAGAAAAATCTTTTTCCATTTTATAGTGTGATGCTACGCAAAATGATTAAGGACTTTTGGATCCCTTTTTGTCGTGGGGAATTGATTTTATACAAACTTCATATTTTTATTAGCAATATCAGGCTCGTAGAGTCGCGATTAGTCTGGTAGCCCAACGACTCGTACGTTATACAGGTATACAGGTACGTTATATACGTATAGTATTATTTATACAGAACAAAATTTCACGCATCGAGTTTTACGGGAAGGTATCGACACGCATTACCTAAGCAATTCTCGGGTCTCAGCTCCTGCAGGAGAAACTGGCAGCAGAACTGGACGACGCCGAGGACCTCGAATTGATCAGCCAGGGGTAGCAATTGCTCCACGTTGTCCGCGTTGACGCTGCACGTGCCAGTGTAAGCGTAATCGAGAATCAGACTGAAAATTTCGCCGGGAACGGAATCGATGGCGACCTCGGTTGTCTCTGTCTTCCCGCCTTTCAAGCTGTCGGTGAAGAGCGCCTTGAAGTACGGACTGACGGCGGACAAAATTGCACGATGCACTGGGAAAACGTTGTCCCTGGCGCACCTGATCGCACCGTCGCACAGCTGCTGGTTCGCCCTGATATATTTATTTCACAGATTTATCGAATACAGTACGCAAAGTAATAAATTACTCGGTGTGAAAGAGTTATTCTTCTAAGCGATATTAACAGATTCGCGATCGGCGTTCGCGACGGAATTCTTCAGCTTAAATGAACGAAAGAAAACGTACAGAACGTTGTACGCGTACGCGATAAATTAAAACATCCTATGGGAGATCCCCAGCGTTGGTGGGGGGCGCGTGCGAATGCATGGGGAGAGACGTTTACAGACCTGAGCTCGGCCCAGACCACGGGGAATTCAACGAGGGCGTAATTAGACGGTAGACACATGCATTTTCTGACTCTGGTCGCCTGCTTCCTGGTGCACTGCATCAGTTTCGTAGCGGAAACGACGGCCCGCGACATTCGGCTGCGAAAGAGCTTCCTAAACTTCATCCTGCCGCGGCCGTCCATCGCCTTGTGGCCAAACGAAGCGATCCTCGCGCCGTTGGCCACCACGAGCAATTACTTCGCCCACCACCTGACGTCGAACCTTTCGATTCTGTCACCGTTCCGTCCGATCCTACGTCCTCGTATTTGTTCTGGTTATCAGTGCGAGTCCCGGTGCACCGGAGGTTCGCAGCCATGACAGAGGAAGGCCGAAACTTTCAACTGACGGCTACACCGAGCGATCGAGAGCAAAAGTCATCGATCCTCGGCCAGCTTCCGATCTCTCGATGAAAACAATTCGTTTGACGGGGGTAACACTCTCTACTCTTCGATAATTTAGGTTGATCATTTAATTCTGAGCTGAGAAATTCTTTTTTTAATTGTTTTTTTTTTTATGTTGTAGAGGAGAGGTTTAGTGGAGGTGGGTTTGGAGTTTCGAGGACTTTGCGTTTCCTAAAAACTCTGCTCCAAATCGGCGATCACTGGCGACAGGGCGGGGTCGAAAGGGTTGCTGGTGGGTGTCGGAATCGGGACCGCGAAACAAAACTCCACGAAGGTTAAGGGCTGTCCGAGGAGGGAGGGCACGCTGACGGCATTCACGCACACGATGTGGCACGCAAACGCGAACGGGCCACCCGCACGTAAAAGTCACGTGGCACGCAACCGCGCCAATCAATATCGGGCAGCCTGTGGGGTTGGGTGCGTTCCATCGCGAGGCAGTGAAAACCGTCGGTGCAGCGAGCCAGTGCGTCCGCGGCCGTCAACCACACCTTGTCAGGGTAGCTTGCTCGCGAGGGCACACACGGCAGACACACACCCTCTCGCCGTTAACCCCGAGCAACACCCTCTCGAAGAGTCGTCGTGTGCGTTGGACTCGTTTCGCTTTCGTCGCGGTCTGCCTGTTGCTAGACGCTTGGGGATTCGTCGGGGAGCTGCGATCGAAGGTACGACACCGGAAACCGGGGGATCTTCCGAAAGGAGACACGACCCTGAACCTATTTCCGTTCCCTGGCTGAAAATAAACCGCGACTCGGGAGCGGAGTGCCACTGGAGAGTTTTCGATTCGGGGATTCGGATCGATGGGGATTTCTTGGGATCGGTTGTCTCGATGGTGGTCAGGATGATGTGTAAACTAGTGGAAAAACGATGGACGAAGAGATTGTGGTGAAGTTTCGACTACCTGGCGAGACTGTACAGTTGAAAACAGGAAAATATGATTTGGGAATTGTGGGAAATTTTGTTGATATTAAGGGTGCGAAGATCTATAACACCTGGCTCGGTAGGTAGCGGTTCTTAAAGCCAGCGACCCCTGGATGGGAGCTCTCGCAACATTGTTGAGGTACATTCCAGTGAGTAGAAGAGTTGCTTTTTCCTCTTTTGTTGTTCGGTCTCTAGAGGCCAAAGCAGGCGCTTCCGATTGAATGGTCTTGCTAACCAAGGGCAATCTTCGTAGCCCCTGGCAGTGTGGTCACGGATGCTTCTGTTTACAGTGTTTAATTCACCCATGCTATTGTAACGCCCGTACTGCACAGTGGGGAGTCCTGGAGACAGCGTACAGACTGGGAGGGAATGCCACTGAATGGGAATTCTTGACCAAGGCTGTTCCTTTGCGTCGAGATCATTCTTCGTAGCTCCTTATTTTACATTTAATTTAATGATGCATTGTGGTCAGAGACAATGGCCGTAGGAACGCTTTCAAGTGCCTGATGAGTACAGGTGGCCTTAGGGGTGCAAAGGGTTAAAATATTTGAAAAAGTTGTTTAAGATAGCATTGCTGTCGTAAGAGGGTAATATGGATTTCCCTCAGATCGCCCAGGGGCATTCTTTGTAGCTCCTCATGGCAGGAACGTGTGTGACGTTGGCGTGGGTGATTCAGGGCTCTCATAGAAACTATAGGTCCTCGATTAACGCGTTGAATGCCTTGTCACTCGAATTCGAGTGACGCTCACGGCTCACAGGGAGCCACGTCACTCGACTACGATTGACGTTCGTGTTTACTCTGTTGGGAATTCTATTAGTTGGATTATCTGCTCATCCAGAACTGCATATGTTCTTCTTGTGCATATTATATTCAAATTATTAAAAATTTAGTAAAAAATACTCGTTGCTGTTAGAGGTGACAATTCTAACCATATTCTTCTTTTTCATTTCGTGAGAAAGAACCACCCTTGTACAAGTTCGTGCAGGTGTTCGGCTATGTCTAGAATATCTCTGAAGATTATCCTTAACCAGGTACAATTTTCAGAAAGATGAAATTCGAGTCTATGTTAAAAAATTCTCTTTCTCTAATTAAACGAAACTACCCCTTAGGTTTAAAACCCGGTGTATCCTAAATTCATGGGAGCCAAAGTGGCTGGATACCGTTTCCTCCCGAGGGCTCGAAGTAGTGACCACCCTACTGTGCCTTCTAAGCCTTCCGGAGGTGACCAGCAATGCTTAGACTCTAAGCCTTAGAGTATCTCAGAGTCGCTCGATAGCCAGAGACTGTCTTCTTCGAGACTGTCTGCAGACGTGGCTTCGCCACTTTGGGGATTTTTCATGGAACCCCTCGAGTTTTCCCTCGTGCGAGGTGGTGGGTGCGCTCGATGGTGGTCGAGTATTTTCGAGGAGCGTAGGTGAGAGTCGAGAGATGCGTGGCAGCCAACGGCGTACAGTTCTTGGTGATATCGAGCGATCGGAGCGTCGTGAATTTTTTAGATCGGCTCTTTTTGATGCACACCGAGGGAAACGTGTTCCTCCGGTTTATCTACGGCTGCCAGACACGAGCTTGGGGGATGCGGTGTCACTGCCGGCTGCAATATTAAACGAAGCTGCGTGATGCTGTTTCGCGAAGGGTGATTCCGTGCGAGAGTATTTCAAATGCTCTCTCTCTCTCTCTTTGGTCGTGTGGAATCCACGACCCTCGTACTTTTTCCACGGGAAGCGTATCTCCTGCTTCGACTACTCTTTCTTCTTTCGAATTCGAGCGTCGCAGAAAACGTTGGCGTTGAAACAGAAACGCGGATTTAAACAAATTTCAGAATCTTATTTTTTTTGTTTATCTTTACGAATCGTCGGACGTTAGGACAGGAGGGGTCCTGGGCTTAAAATAATATATACACGATAGACGATTCGATAATAACTTCGTAAAAAGTAAGATGCGACTATGCGTCGAAGCAATTATTTTCAGATCTCGTGTTCGACGATCGTAACAGCGCAACCCCTGCGCAACAACAGCGGTAATCAACAGAATACATTTCCATTATATAAATCACGCAAAGATAACATCTATGATTCACGGGAAAACAGTAGGAATAATCGATCCTTGGGCAAACAGTGTTCCACGTGCACGAAAGAGCATTGAAATCTTGACTAAGCCATCGATTGTGTTATCTTCGGTACCGTTAACGATGTAAGCTATTTATAGCTGAAAAAATTCATACAATTGGACAAAGCATGCACGAATATGTCTACAAAATTTGAACCTGCTACGTCCGTTAGATTTTCCCTGAAAAAATCTGAAACGTTGCGTCGTTTGATTCGTACGATCTCGAGCCGTGATTTCTGAATGGGGTCGTCGCATTTATGGCAAAACGAGCGAAGCGGAGGAGCGATGACGTAGTCGGGAAGTTGCAAGAAGGCTCGTAGACACAGCATGACGGGAGCCTGGCGTCGAAGCGTGTGGTAAACGACGCTTTCGGAGCGGATTCAGTGAGTCATGCGCCGCGTCGAGCATCGTCTCTTTTATTTCCAAGCGAGCATCCCCATCGACGTTGGGAAGCCGAGTACGAAATGGTTATAACGAGACGGTGAAATTCGATTTCGCCCGCCCTACTGATCACACGTCGCCGCCAGACCGTAAATTGCTTAGACGCGGATTTCCAAACGGACACGAAACGAGCGCGACCCTTCCGGCTTAAACCACAAGGGTTGAAAAGATTTCAAAAATATCTGTTTCAAACAGTTATTTAACGATCCCGCGGATTGTATAAATAGAAATTCCTCGCGAAAGGATATTTTTCGTAAAAGTAAGTGTGTGTGCTTGCACTTGTATGAAATTTTTCAGTGATATCTGCGTAATCGTGGAAAGTGTAATAAGTGATAATAAGTTTCGTAAGACGCTTTTCATGTCTTCGATTTCTCTAATTAATATGTTTTCGACTAAACGTGGTTCCACGCGTTTTGTGTTCGCAGACGAAAAGTTGACGAGGGTCTAACGAAAATGGACGTAAATGGGCGAGTTGCCCTGGTGACGGGTGCCGCTTCCGGTATCGGAAAATCGTGTGCTATAGAATTGTTAAACCAAGGCGCGAAGGTGAGTGAAAGAGGAAACCTTCTCTTTTATATTTTCCTCGTATCTTTTGCTATAAATAAAGATATGTTCCATAAAACATCAACGTCGATGAAATCCTCTTGATAAGGGATCTAGGAGAACATTAACGACCATAATTAAATTTCACGTATCCTCCTTAAGGATATACCCTTGGCTTAGTGTGTCGCTCCATAAATGCTTCAACGCGTCGTGTTCGAAAATAGCTAGCTTATATTTAAGTCTCTCCCTGTCGGGAAGGAAGTTTTATCGCTCTTTCTGATCGATTTCTGTTGAATAAAAAATTACTTGTTAACAATATAACACCGTGTATACAAATAACGAACGTGTCCATTTATTTATGTTCTTTTTGATCGTTTGCAAGGTGTCTGTGTGCGACACCGACTTAGACGGAGGCGAGAAACTGGTGGAAGCCTTGTCAACGGAGCATGGAAAGGATTATGTAATTTTCTGTCAGTGCGACGTCACCGATTATTCACAATTCGAGGGTACGAACGTTTAAAGTAATTATTGGCGCGATCGTTAGTAAAAATGCATCTACGGCTATCGTAATCAATTTGTTCGTTTTGACTTGCAGAGTCGTTTCAAACGACAATCGCGACCTTCGGTCACATCGACATCGTCATCAACAATGCTGCGATCATGAACGATCGGTTTTGGGAGCTGGAAGTCGACATCAACGTCGTAAGCATTCATCTTCGATTTATTTATTAATTTTGTTGTGATACAGGGAAGCTTGAACTCGATATAAAAAAAAAATTATAAATAAAATAAATATTATTTTCAAGAATGTCGCGATTGGTTTACATTTCAAAGTGGAAGAATTACATATTTTTATAAATTTCCCATTTATAAGATTTCAAATCCTCTAATTTCTAATTGTTTTAGCAGTTTTTTATTTAGTCGATTGCATATATTGTCTTAATGATTTTAAAACTCGTTGTTTCAGAACGGCGTGATCCGCGGAACTTTGCTGGCTCAGCGATTTATGGGAACCGACAGGGGTGGTCGCGGTGGGATCGTGGTTAATATCGGAAGCGATGTCAGCATCAATCCCTACGCCAGTGTTCCAATATATTCCGCCACTAAAGCAGCCATCGTCAATTTCACCAGAGCGTTCGGGGTAAGCCTGTCAACATCTAAATTAAAAGAGAATTTACTGTAAATGAATGTCTTTTCACAAAGGCTTTAGAATATCATCCTCGAATAAAACACAAATAATATGGAATGCAAGATTATATTCCCATCGTTAACTATTTAACTATCGTCAAAAATTAATTTTTAGTTATTACACCCAATAGATATAAAGTCATGGAACATTTTCTTACGATTCATTTTCTTTCTTCATTCAGAATTTTTCTTCATTCTTCATTTCCTCGATAAGAATTGTTGTTTTTGTTTGCTATAGCATCAGTACCACGTGGACTTAAGCGGCGTGAAAGTCATGGCGTTGTGCCCAAGCGAAAGTAAATTGGTACGGGACGTCAGAAAAAAGCTGCTCTGGGCTCGATACGAGGACGCCTGGCGTCGTGACGTAGCCAGCTCGGTTCCACAAGGGTAACTATAATGAAATCAAATATAATAAAATTATATAAATGATAAATTCAAAGCTTTTTTTTTTATTAAAATACTATATGGATTTGCTTCATGATATAGTTACTATAAGTTAATATTTTGTATGAAAATCAGTACCAACGCAATGTACAAACCCAAACATGTTTGTTATCTAACTTATCACATAAGTCATGTGACACTGTTTGTCTAGCTTATCATATTATTTATGTAACACTTTATTCTCAGACGAATTCGCTTGTAACAGATGCGTGATAGCAATTACTTGATTGTCGCAGATCTTACCACGTAAATAATTTCGTCGAAATTCTTTGATTTCCAGGCCAGAGCATGTGGCGAAGGCACTGCTCCACATCCTGAACACTGGCAAAAGCGGAAGCATTTGGATGATCGAGGAGGATCAGCCACCGCACGAGATCAATTTCCCGAAATACTAAGAATCCTAATGCCACGATTCGCGTGGATCCTCCCTCGCTTGAATACGAATAACTATGCCGTACCATAACTGCGAATGTACCTCTATTATAGTCCTGAACTACAGCGACGAGGGACCTTCGCGAACCTGAAGGGTTCAGAAAGTTTTCAAACATCCGTTCTGGATTTATTCTAGGAGAAGGGGTAGTTTCACCCTGTTCCACTAATAAAGTCTCACGAGGACTTTCTTTCGATGACTCAATATTTTCTGAACCTTCAGGTTTGCGAATATCCCTTGCAAGACTGCCCTGCAGCAGTCCCGGAAGTGTAAACCCATCCTAAGGGAAGCATCTCACGACGTACCAAAGAAAAATGGGGAGAAGGGATAATTTGTTGGCACGAACACTTTTTTGTACATTGTTCCATTACATTTAAAGGAGAAGTTAGTTCGATGGAGGTCGCAAACTTAATGATTAATTAAACGCGTCAGTAAAAGTGTTAAAGTTATTGCATTCGTTACGTGTGTGATCTCCGAGGAAATAACGATATCCTTAAACTTTCACTCGAATCTGTCTTAGCTAGTACTCGTACTCCTTCGGATTCTATTTTCCTTTGAAAGTCACCGTGTTGAGTAGGGCTAGAAAAGTCAAAGGGGTCGTCCGACGAGTAGTGGCACGAATGACGGTGAGAAAACACACATTTGCAATCTAAAAAACTGACACCGCGGATTAAGAGTTAAGAAATCATTAAACGAGGTTCCACACTTATTAATAGGGGCTCCTTGGATCGTATTCAACTTGCACACGACCCCCAAAAGTGGGGGAAGTCCTCCGAACTTTGGGACACGCGTTAAACGACCCTGTTTTACGCGTTCTCGCAAGTTTCTATTAGAGGTGAGCAAAATTTTGTTCGAATAAAAAATTAAATCAAACACACAGCTATCTACACGTGACATTTATTCGATCGAATAGTTACTTGGACAAGTATCTATTCATTCAATTTAAATCTTAATTCAACCTTTAATCGATCTTTTTAAAGGTTGTTCACCTTTTATTCTTGTACTTGCGTCTGGAACAAAAATTCTGCCCACCTCTGGCTCACGGTTACTTGTAAAATCTAAGACTTTTTCCTAGATAGCGACACGAAGTGTTCTATGATACACTTAACGGAAAGATAACGACGAATTTTTTATACTTTTCGTATGGATTTGAACCAATGTTTTCTAAATTTTTTAATACTACTCTAAGTATAGCGTTTTTCCGACAATAGAGCAAGAAATGCTTAGCGTCGATGTCGAACTTCTACTGCCACCTTTTCAACTGAAAACGAGTAATTAATATTTGAAATTCGGACGGCTCAAGTCGTGTAATTTGATACTTGATTTGTCGTACTCTATTGGCAGAAGAAGGGAGAGCTTTTTAAAGTTGGGGAGCTTCGATTTCGAGAAGCGTCGACTGCCAACTTGCAGGTGATTTCAAGCCGAACTCAGAGTACCGCAATACAATTTAAGGCAATTTATTAAGAATATTAATTTTAAAAACGTCATTCGCTTTACCTTCCACTTCATCGAACTTGTCTAAAATTCCGTGAAAGTTTCATGTATTTTTCGAATGCAAAGTAACCGAGTATTTTAAACAAAACAAAAATCTCAATTTTCTAATCGCAGTTTAATTCTTAAACTGTCTATATACGTAGCGCACACTGCAGTATTTTAACTCGAGAATAGTATTTTTGGAAGCTATAAATTCAAATCAGGTAGAATTCATTCCATCCACGAAACTTTTCGACGCACACCGGTCCTCGTAATTTTTAGCGTTTTGTCTATAATTTCGAAGACTGCGAAAGAAACCATGTGAACGATTCAATTTTCACCGATCAACGAAAAGAGAAACGACGAAACGATTCTATTTCTTCGAGAACAAGGGAAAAAAGGAAGTAAATCGATGAGAACGAGCCGAAGATTTGTTCTGAGACAACAGTGTTACCGTGCTCGTAATTTTTGATAAGAACTTTTAAACGGTGATTCGACCAAAGGGAGAGAAAAGAAAGAAAGTTAGGCTTAGATATGCGGTGTCGAGGTCTAAACTCGGTGTCTTCGACGCGCGAAACACAATTATTCTACATTTTAATCGTCCATTCTTCGATCGAAAGACCCCGAGCCTCTCGTTGCGAGTGTTTATTTGTCGCTCGTCGATGAACGAGCGTCAGCGGGTTCGATTAGCGATTAGAATTTCGATTTACTTTCCGAACGAGCAACGTGAGCGTTTACGGGGGCTCGTAATCGAAGGACTATCGCACACTCGAATATAAACAATGCGTACTCTCAAACGGCGGCACGGTCGATAGCTAGTGGAAATTGTTGGTTTTGTTATGATTTGCTCGGAAAATGTATGTTGCAAGCCTAGCTAATATAGTGCATAGCTTTTTAAAAAAAAGGAGAGAATGTATATTTATTTACCCTTGTCCTGTTCTAAGGTACTTTCGTCTATCGTCCTGTTTTAGAAATAACGGAGATCGCTTTCATTAACAGGAGAAACAAAAGTCGACTAGTTTCACAGATCAAAATTCTCGTTTCACGTTAGACTCTCCGAGTTTTCCTTCTTCCGAGACTTTTCGCTTGATGAATAATGTGAACAAGGTGTTGCTGGCTGCAGCAATGTATTGCGTAACGTTGCTCCTGCAGCCCGTACAAATTATGCTTCGTTACTTAGTCGATCGTTTGACTGGAGAGCAAAAATCAACGTGTAATTGCAGACCGACTGACAAAGAAAACTTCAATTATCCGTCACTCGGTGAACATTTTTCAAATTCTCGATTTCTGGTGTGTCATTGCGTTCTCTGGTTCGAAGTCGTCTCACCTCGACTGCAACGTTGGGAAATACACGTATAATAGTTTCCAGCGAAATGTTAACGCGATACCTAACCTCGCTCGTCTCCAACCTTCTCAATAGTCCAAGGTAAGCTACTCGAACTCGATACTTCGTTTTAGACATAACTGTTCGATACCCTGCCTGTTTTTCAATTTACTCGGTAAACCGGAAGCGCAGCACGCAACGCCCCTTTGCAATTCGTGTTTGTAGTCGTTTGAATATTTACTTCGCAGGTTTTCGATAAAATCATTTTTTGAAAGTACCCCCCACGTATTATTGTGAAATAAATTTTATTTTTCACAAGCCAACCGAGTTTCTTCTCCCTCAGAGGTCTGACGAAACTCAAATCATGCCAGTTTCACGTGACCAGCACGATGCGAAAGAAGAAGAAGAAGAAGAAAAAGGAGCCGGAAGGCCCCAAAATCATAAAACCCTACGACTGGTAAATATCGTACTATAGTAATAGTTGAAATGCTTAAAATTCACGAAGGGCCAGTGGTAACGATTTTGACATTTTATCGAAATGAAATCGTAGCGGTGATTCGCCTAAACCAATTCTGGATCCTTCGTGCAAAGTGGCCATCGTGATAGGCGGTTCCGATGGTTTTGGTTTTGCGGCTGCTGATCATCTATTGTGTAAAGGGGCACGAGTTAGTATCTCCTCTATTTGTAATATTCCGCGAAAAATTCTAACTTCTGTCCTAATTCGTTTAAATTACCCAGGGTGTCGTGATCGCGGATAATGACGTCGATCAAGGTCGAATGGCGGCGCAGAGGCTCTGCAATTCCTATGGAAAGAATCGCGTGCAATTTTTCGAATACGACGCGAACAATCCTTGCCAATTGGAAGGTTAATACATAAATTCGCATTGCTACATTAATATTTGGAGAACGAACGTTGAAATAAGAATAGGAGATACTTGTTTATAATAATTGGGAATATTCGCAGCTACTTTGAGTCAGGCACATTGCAAGTACAAGCAGATACACATACTTTTCAATGATTCCGACAAGGAACGGTTTCCATCGGAATGCAACGCCACGAGGAAGAAGGAGGTACGCCGTAACAGTTAATAATAAAACTATAGATATCAAGCCTGTGAGGCTCGATATTAAACCTGAGAATATATTTAGTAGAAATTGAAAGCATTTGTAGTATAAAATTTTACAGAACTACATATCCAAAGCTACCAGGGCGGGCCTGAAAATTTTGGGGAAGAACCATGGCGGTCCTGGAGGGATAATAGTGAACTGCGCGAGTATTCTCGGATTCATGGGCTGGCCGAAGGATCCGTTCCCTGTTTACTGCAAGAAGGAACCAGCTATAGAAGTCACGATGGATTTCGCGGTATTTAAAATTAATTTACTTAAACTGAAACTCACTTCGCATCGAGCATCTTGTGTATATTTCTATCCCATCGAAGGAGAAGTTCAGTGTGGAGGAAACTGGAGTGCGTTTCGTCGCCCTTTGCCCGACTAATAAACAATTCTGCGATATAGGACTACCAGATTTCCCAGACCCAATCCCTCGCGATCGACTCAGAGACATGCCACCTTGTATACCAACCCCGTGAGTGAAATTACTTATCAAGTTAAGCTTCGCTTGCATTAACAAAAATAGGAATTTAAATGATCGCTACTAGCCGAGTGAAAAATTAAATTAATATAGTAAATTAAAAGTAAAAATTGATTGAAAGGGAGGTACTTTTTTTACAGGAAAGGTCAAATCAGGTCAGCTTTGGGCCACGTAATAGCGTGGGCGAAAAGCGGAAGCACGTGGGTGGTCGAACCGGCGATCAGCGTTCACGAAATCCCTCGATTGATTCATTTCCCTCTGAAGGAAGGCGAGAAAATCGATCCGAAAATCTATGGAAGTCAAGTAAAGTCATTTCTCTGTCGTTATTATACAGGGTAGAGTAGTAGAAGAGTACCGTGTCAATTTAAGCTCTGTGAGGCCAAACCGAAACCACCACTCATCGATGTCTCCAAAAACCCTAAGATCGATACTACCAAAAACTGCTCACCATCGAAGCAAACTAACTGTGGACCAACGAAGAAAAAATGAAGAGACTCGAACTCGTAAAACAAGCTGACAAATAGTATATATCTTCGAATAAAAAATGATAGTTCCTTTGATAACCTTTTTTTACCTAGATAACACGTTCTCCTTACGTAGTTTCCATCAAGCTCTTCATCGTTTGTGTTTGCTGTCCGCTCAAGTTCCTATCAGAGATCGATTTTTACAAACAATGTACGTTGCTAAGGGCGAGGATAAAAATTAAACTGACGTGCGAGAAGAATTGAAAAATAATATTATCGTAAGCTAATCATTTTAGTTTGCGAGATAAAAGTTGACGCGATAAGGAAAAGCCAGCTTGTGGTCGCAAGATTAACATGGAAACCTCATTTTTCCTGGTTCTATTGTAATAAATACACGTTTAAGATGTCTTAAAACTGTACAATAAACCTTTGATTTATTATTAAAAATATTACAAGGTCACTTCAAGTTTTGGAAATTTATAAAAATTCGTGGAACGTCTTCGCGAATCGCTTGTTCCCTTTTCTTTAATCCTGTCCGCGATCTCCCTAATCGTTTATCTTGTTCCTGAAGCAGAGCGGGGATAACTATTCATCCTTAGTTGTGTCGGTCACTCCACGCCATTCCATCTTTAGAATATAAACGAAGGCTTTCCTTAAACCTTATTTAAATCGCTACTAGCGCTTGCGAAAACTCGAAGCCTCTACTTTCTGCCTTTATCGCGATTTTGTTTATAGTTATTAATAAAATTAACGTGCTTGAATGCAAGGACTAAAATTAAATAAACGACAAAATCCATTCTGCAGATCAAAATTTGTAGCGTCATCTGTGTCACTGTTTCAATTGAATTTTATCTGTCAACGAAGATGAAAGTGAAAGACAAGACTGTGGTAATCACTGGTGGAGCGAATGGTATCGGCTTTAATACCGTTAAGGAACTGTTACGTTACAATGCCAAGGTAATTTCTATGTGTCTGAAGAATATCTGTGTACAGTTGGACACCTTTCTGTTCCAAACTGGACAGCAATTATTTAGTGTACCCTAAATATGTTCACTGAAAGTGAAACATTATTCGAGTCTATAGTAAGAAACATTATCTTTATTTGGCGATAAAAATTTGTATATCTTGTCGAACGAATGGCTAACAATGTGTCGTTCCTAAAATTGTACAATATTACAAACGAGTGATAAAATGAATAATGTGAGAAATTAGCAATTTCCTAACGCAACACGCATCTATCAACACTGATAAAGTAAACTAGTCTTTTCATCTTTCATATGGAGATTACATATATATTAGAAGTTACAATTGAACTACAGTACTACTGTTGTTTTTTCAGTGTGTGGCCATCTTGGATTTGCCAAATTCGAACGCAGAAGACGCGGTTAAGGAGTTGGAGAAACAATTTGGCAATAATCGCGCTATTTTCTTCGTCTGTGACGTCACGAGCCAAGCTCTAGTCAATTGTAAGTAGCGAAACATTGATTATTATTTGCAAAATTCAGTGCGGAAATTAATTTACAAATTCGTTTCAACAGCTGCCTTTAAAGAGGTGGTTGAAAAACTTGGACATATTGACATTCTGATTAACAATGCAGGAATTGCGGATGAGTTGAAATGGGAAACCATGATCAACGTTAATGTTGTAAGTTAAAGTCATTCAGTTCCTCTGTGATTAATTGGTGGATAATTCAAGCTCGTATAATCGAATGAAATGATAAATTAATTTTCGCTTTAGATTGGGGTCGTTCGCACGACTCTCGCTGGCATCGAGTCGATGAGCAAACATAACGGCGGCAAGGGTGGTACAATCGTGAACATTTCGTCTGTAGCTGGTCTCTCACCTACGCGTTTCATACCCATGTATTGTGCAACCAAGTATGCTATCGTTGGATTCACTACCAGTCTTAAGGTAAAACAGACGATTATAAATTCCATTCGATATCTTCATGCAAATTTCGACTTCCAGTCCAGCTACAATAAAACTGGTATTCGCATGCTGCTGATGTGTCCAAGCATGACCAACACTGCAATGACTAGAAACACCCATAGAGCGGGCCTCCTGTCTTTCGTCGACAAAGAAGGAATCAACGAGCAGCTGAAAACGACTACCTGGCAATCGTGAGTGATTCGACAAACGTGATATCGAGTGACAAATATCAATTATTAATTATTCTGAACAGAGCCGAGCACGTGGCCAAGGGGATAGTCGAATTAATTGAAAAAGGAGAAAATGGCGCGGTCTGTGTCGTCCAAAACGGGGCGCCACCCTATCTCGTCAACATACCATCGGCCTATGAACTGGAGAAACTTAAATTGTAAAATACTATCATACATTATAATACGTTTAAAATAAAATGTGACCTCCATATACTACCATGAATGATTATTACATACACTTAAGCGGTCAAATCTATCTAGCGTCGTCGTCAGACGAACGAAACGATTGTATTTTTTATAATAGCAAGGACAACACTTCTGAAATAACGATATTCGCACATCAGATTCCCATTCGAATGATTCTCGGACCAGTGTCTGCAACGCAAATCGGTAATTCAATAAACGTACAGAAATAAACGGCCTCCTCTGCACACGGTCGCCAGCCTCCGGCTGTGGCGAATTTTTTTCCGCGATCGGCGTAAATTCGATCCTGTTTACCCACGGATCCGCGATCGAGTTGCCCACCGGGTTAGACGCGGGACATTTAATCTCGTACGATCGATACTCGATTTCTCGAGTTTCATGCGAACAACGGTCCATCGTCGACTGCTTCGCGGAATATATTTGTGACCCGACCGTCCGCGGGAACGCCACGAAACCGTGGTTGAATTCGCGCCGATCCTGAAGAAAACGGAAGACCTAACGGATCGAGGCTCGATCACCTCGATCGATCATGAACATCGAGGGCAAAGTGGCCCTCGTCACCGGAGGGGCGAACGGAATTGGCTTCAGCACCGCTCGGGAGCTTCTTCGAAAGAAGGCAAAGGTACTTTTATTGATGTTACGAATTGCTTGTCGACCTCAGAGATTTTATAGAGATACGCCTAACCACGGATTCACGCGATGCACCACAAATGAATAAACACAGAAAATAGTTGGAATTTATGATTTCTGTTCGACTTTCAGGCAGTAGCATTGCTGGACTTGGCAGATTCCGGGGGCGAAAGCGCGGCCGCCAATCTGATCGAGGAGTTTGGGAAGGATCGAGCTACTTTCATCGTCTGCGATGTCTCCAAGAACGAGCAGTTGGAAGGTGGTTGCCGTTTTACTAGTCACAGAATTTCGTTCTCGACAGATAATTTTTGTGGTTTTTACTCTTTCTATTCAATGATAGTATTAGGAAAGGTCTAGATTTATTCGATCGATATTTATAGAGGCGTTCAAGAAAGTTATCGACACATACGAAACCCTGGATGTCGTCGTAAACAACGCTGGCATCATGGATGACGCAGATTGGGATGTTATGGTCGACATTAATTATGTAAGCGACTCGACATTATGTTACTCAACGCGTTATAAAAAACAAAAGTATGCTAATTATGATCTTTGGATAATAATTAAATTATGTAATGAATACTTACAATTGTAAAATAATGCGGATGGTAATGTAACGTAAAACGTATGGAATCAATGAGTGGTAATAGTCATTAATATTTAATGTGAATAAAAAAGAATAGTAATTAAATAAAATTGCTTAGTTGTTTGGAGCTGTTTTATAATTCTAAATGGGCTTCTAACAAGACAAGATAATAAAATCATACTACCACTTTTGAACGACCAATATTTTATACCAAAAACGATCTGTTTCGTGTTAGAAAGGCGTGGTTCAAGGTACGATTTTGGGATTGCACAGCATGGGAAAATATAAAGGAGGCAACGGCGGTGCCATAGTGAACATGTCATCGGTGTGTGGCATCGATGGAATTCTGCTAGCACCGATCTACGGAGGAACAATGCACGCGATTGTTGGGCTCACTCGATCTCTAAAGGTAAACAGAACTTACGATTCGTAATTGTGTATATTAAAACAAAAAAGCGATAAATTTCTTCGCGAAAAGCTAGTATAAAAAGAAACGAAATGGCGTCTCGAATGTGTCTGATATGGTTAAAGAGACTTTTGTTTTTCAACTTGAAGGCTAACGGATGCGATAAGCGCTTCTCTTTTTAGGTATTATCGTATGACTGATGTGTGCTAAACATAAATTTCGTCAATAGAGACTTTCTTAGCGTCGACTCCGAAAAAAATTATCTTGACTCCACATAATTTCGAGATTACGTCCGGTTCATAGCTTGCCATAATTGGTACGACGCGACGGCAGGTCAGTCATCCAAACGTCGATAGCCCAAAATTATTATACCAATTTAGACACCGAGTCGTCGACATTTTCAAATTTACTTCATTGATGCGACTATTAACAGTTCCGTACGAACTCGACAGCATTTCTATGAGAAAACCGGCATTCGAATGTTGACGATATGCCCTGGCCTGACCACCACGACTATGGCATCCAAGTTCATGTCTAGTAAAGAGTACGCAATGGATCTCCTCGACGAAGAAATGGCGGCATTCGCGATGACCAACTTGAAAAAACAACCGTAAGCAAGAAAAGTCGTTCCCGTTATTCCTCTTGGTTAATACGTTCAGCTAATCAAAGTCGAAAGTCGATCAACCATTTAAGATGATGATATATAATTGCGGTTTGTTTTGCTCTTCGAGTGAACACGATACGTGACAAGCAGTCACACCACCTCGAGAAAGATTATCTTCGACGTTACATTCAACTTCTTGCCGCGATTATAATAATTATTACATCAAACATATCTGGGACTTCAGTTTATTTTTTCAAGAAAAAATTTGTCCTCTCTTCGGTGGCTTCATTCTACAACGATGGTGAACATGAACATTTATATAAATAATAAAATACTACAGTAAATGTTTTCAGTGTTTTTTACTATAACTATTTTGTCCTCACTATCGTTGCAGAATAGAGTCGTTTATCAATGTTAACATTTATATTGTTTTATTTGTACCTGTCAACAGACCGGAACACGTGGCGAACGCCATCATCGAACTGATCGAGAAAGGAGAGAACGGGGCAATTTTTGTCGTCGAAAACAACGAACCCCCGTACGCCATTGAATTGCCAAATTACACCACCTTGAAGACCACTGCATGAAGATCGTGAAAAACCGTCGAAAAACAAAGAAGGAGATGGAAATAATCGTATTTTTACAATTATACATGTAAATCTATTGAATAGAACGAAGTGATCTTAGAAAATATTTCTATTGTTAAATGAAACTACTGAATAGTATACTTGAGGACTATGTAACGAAATAAACAAAAGTAAAAGTAACACATATCGTGTAATATTATTCAAACCGATGGTTTCGACGCATTTCACTTCAAGGCTTTACTAAACCTTTGACATAGGTGACCATTGACATCCGTGCATCGAGTTTCTTTTCTCTTAGACTTTGGCCTCCTTGCTCACGCGCGTGAGATCAATGTACACAACAATCTATAAGTATTAGAAACAAAATATTAGCTAAAATCATGCACTCATATTGTCTATGTACGTAAATCTATCGTTTGATTGCTTGCAAAGGTATATAGCACACCTGAATAATAACAATCAAAAAGTGTCTTCGAGCATAGTCATTAGGATTTCGTCCTTCAACAAATCAGAGATTTCGTTCAACAGTTTATCCGTCGAATTTGAATATTCACTGCTCGTATACCGAGTCGTACAAACTTTTCTGCATCATTGAATATATAAACTGCATTACAAATATGTCTTTTTCTGCTTATATATTCACTATTCTTCGTACTTCGCCTATTTAACGGTCCAGTGTCTCTTCCTTCCTCGAATCGAATGTGGTGGTACTGTCGTTGATTCGACATTCTGACAGGGTTACAGACCATGGACAACATTAAGAACAAGATTATCTTGATCACGGGAGCTGCTTCGGGACTTGGATACTGCTTTGCCCAGAAACTCCTGGAAAATGGGGCGAAGGTGACAAATAAGATAGTGTTGGTGTACTGATGTTTCCGTGCAATTTTACGTTTGATGAAATCCTCAGACTATCGCGATTCTCGACTTGCCAACGTCGCCTGGTCAGACGTCGGCAACCACCCTGGAAAAGGAGTACGGTAAAGGCAAAGCGACGTTCTTCCCTTGTGATGTTTCAGTCACCAAAGATTTCGAAGGTACTGGATGCGCTCTTCAACGTTTACGAGCTGCGAGAATAAAGATTTCGCTGTCTGCTTGCAGAAGCGTTCAAGAAGGTTGTGAGCATCTTCAACGGCATCGACGTTGTCATCAACAACGCTGGCATGTATAACGAATTGAATTGGGAGAGAACTGTTCGTGTGAATATTGTGAGTAGAACATGGCGGAGTAGTAAAGTGACACGATATGTTGAAAAATAATTCGCCACTCTCTGGTTACATACCGCCATTACTGCTTTATACATTCAATACGAAACAATTTCAATTGAATTTTCAGGGTGGCGTGATCCACGGGACCTTGCTCGCCATGGATCACATGAGTAAACACAAAGGTGGCAAAGGCGGAACTGTTGTGAATATTTCATCAGTCGCGGGTTACACGCCCGTGGGTGTAAGTCCAGTGTACTGTTGCACCAAATATGGCGTCATGGCATTCAGTCGGAGCCTGCTGGTAAATATCTCCTCAAATTCTACCTCCTTGCCACCTTGAATTTCGTCTATTCGCTTGCCCTCGCAGGAGAACTACGACAAAACTGACGTTCGCTTAATGGTGGTATGTCCTGGACTCACGGACACAAATATCCTAGACAGTATGCTGACGACTTCGCTCGATTTGATCGACTTTCCCAAATATTTGGATCAGCTTAGGGACCACAAGTCCCAAACGTGAGTAAATGAGTTTTTATCCGTCAGAGGTACCGTTGCGCCGAAATAGGAAGTAGACGAATCCTACTCCATCTTTTTTGTCTCGTGATCAACTTGGTTTTACTTTTCCGTGGGGGAAAATGCTTCATCCACGTCCACCTGTTATTTTTATTTCATCAGGGTCGATAACGTGGGCCGTGCTATGGTCAGTATAATTCAGAAAGGCAAGAACGGGTCTGTTTGGGTTAGCGAATTTGAAGAACCACCCTACGCCATCGAGTTCCCTCCTGTCGAGAAAGTGGAACTCGGGCTAGATATGTAAAGATAACTCATTTAGGTCAATAATATCTCGTTTGTATGATACGCATGTATAATAATAAAGTACTTATTTAGTGAAACTGTGTTTGTAAAATTCAACTGGTGTTAATAAACATTCTTCGAGCACCGATTCCTCATTTGGATGTCTGAAATATAATTTATTGCCGCACTAAGGAATGTTTATGCATTCGTGGAAAATGGAAATGCGGGATAATTTACAAAATACAAATGGAAAAATATACACAATATCAAGAACGGTGTACGTCTAATAGCGTTTAGAAGATAAGGCATGAAATATACATTTGTATACAAATTCTTTTTCTGTATCTATGAAAATACAAATTGCATAAACGTCCACTGTTTATTTATTACCTCGTCTGTCTCTATTGCAATTTGCAATAGGCAAGCGACGTTAACGTGCCCAACAAACGGAGACATTCGTATCCATACCGAGTAAACATTGTACAATGACGATATACGTAACGACAAACACAACGATAAGATTTATTTACGCCTTATCTTGGAAATTACAAAAATATTTATATCAAGAGTCTATAGTCGAAAACTCTTACTTAATTTATTGCTACGTGAAAGAAAGAGAACGAGACACATTTTATCTAAAATGAGGAGATAAGGAGTTTATGTAATTTCTTCGGCACCAGATATTTCGATTCAGTTATGGTTCACCTATCCATTGGTGCTCACTGTCTCAACAAGAACTGACGATACAGCTGTTGCTAACATTGTGAGTTAATCAAGTGTTCTACGATCGTTGATTTTTTAACCTGTACTTTTTTTCCGATGCACTGAAAATATATGATATACTTTGGACGACATAGGGTTTCCATTGAATTCCACAGAAATACTTCTTTTTTAAAAAAAAAAAAACCCTTGCAAAATCATCCCTCGTATATCTACTGAAATATGAGTATTAATTTTCAGTGACATTGTAACATTTGTTGATATAGTAATACTTCACATCCATATTTCAAAATGACATTCTTAAATTTTTTATGGAAAATGATGCACAGACCATGGACAACATTAAGAACAAGACCGCTTTGATCACCGGGGGTGCCAGCGGGCTCGGTTTCGTGTACGCGGATAAATTGCTGCAAAATGGAGCGAAGGTGAATTTTCAAGACACATTAGATGAATTTCTTGTAATTTTTCAGATATTAATCTCGACGCAATTTTTAGATCGTTGCCATTCTGGACCTGAGCACCTCGCCTGGTCAAACGTCGGCGGCCACCTTGGAAAAGAAGCACGGAAAAGGGAAAGCCATCTTCTTGCCTTGCGACGTAACCAACGCCCAACAATTCGAACGTACCTATCACGTTATTATTTATGAACTGAACCAGTAACTATTTGCACAATCGAGTAACCGATTATTCTAGGGGGTAGTCTGGCAATTTTATTTTCGGTAGCAGTTTCTTAACGATTCCAGTCCTAAAACGATTACCCTTTTATATAGAAAGCTTCAAGAAGGTCGTGGACATCGTCAAAAACATAGATATTGTTATTAACAATGCTGGCATGATAGATGACACTAAATGGGAGCAGACTGTCCGACTAAATCTTGTAAGTACTCGAGAGCGCTGACACTGGACACGATTTGACAAACGATTATTCATTTTTCAATCGTTTCGCTTCGTCTCAAAAATGTCACGCGCAGGATAAAAAAAGAAATTCATACTTATTTTCGTTAGCAATACAAATACTTTGGAAATTGTAAATAAAAGAAAACCTATCACAAGAAAGAAAAATAGAACTACTGCAAAATGTAGTACTTACCTGTTGTCGCTTCAATTGTGCAACAAGAAATAATTTAAATTTCAGACAAGCGTGATCCAGGGATCGATTCTCACCTTGAATCATATGAATAAACGAAATGGCGGCAAAGGCGGTGTCCTAGTAAATATAGCCTCGATTGTGGGCTTCCGTATCGTACCTGAACTCCCCGTGTATTGCGCAACAAAGCATGCCATAGTCGCACTCAGTCGATGCTTGGAGGTAAATCTCGATAAACTCGTATTCGTCGATGTTCGTCCTTAGAAGCTTCTATGACCGACACTCTAGTCAAGTTCATGATTAATTAACATCTTGTATAAACAGATGTTGACTCATCTTAACTGCCATTTTAACTAATCTTACCCCAGATGTTAACTGCACTATTTTCAACACAGTTGAAAAACTCTTCTGTTTGAAATTCCTCAGGACTTCTACGACACAACAGGTATTCGTGTTCTCACGATGTGTCCTGGAGCGACGGTAACACCTTTAATCAAAGAATTAGAAAAGAAGGTATTAGATATCGTCGACGACAGGATCGACAAACTGTTGAAACTGTTACTGACCCAGCCGTGAGTGAATATTTCTTTCAATCGCGAATTTTTCAGAAAAAAAAAAAACGATGCATGGTTCACTGTCCCTTCACTTTTTGTTTTTCAGGACTGAACACGTGGGCGAGGCCATGGTCAATCTCATTCAGAAAGGTGAAAATGGAGCCTTTTGGGTCAGCGAGGAAGGACAGCCACCTTACGCCCTGGAGTTCCAGCCTCCCAAGAGGGTGGAAGTTAATCTGTGAAAGAAACTTCTCGATTACTTCAGATATCTCGATTGTACATGAATGATGAAGGTTTAAATGGGATTGGTACTATTTATACACTATACCCCTACCTTCCTTCAATACTCAATGTTTACTTGGTTGCGCAGAATATTTTGAAACTTTCCGTGGAAAGTTAATACTGTACTTAATACTTGACAGTAAAGCGTATATTTTGTAATCTATTATGTCAAAAGAAGACGAATAAACCTGATATGAAAACACAAATTGGAGAAAAAGAGACAAATTATTTGGGATGTTGCTCCTTTCGTATTTACTAGTGGTTACTGACTTTCCAGTGGTTGCTTCATATATGCATTTGCACTTTAAGACTAGCACAGCATTGTCGTTATCTTTGCGTCGCGTCGTTATCCTTGGACTTAGGTAGACCTTATGTTAATATGCAAATCGAAACATCAAAGGCGTGTTATTAAAATTGCGTTCTTGTTGTTATTGATGTTTTGATATGGTAAATTGAGTCGGAAAACTCGTATTGCTTTCGGTAAATTAAACAGAAGAGAATTGAATATCTCCTAAAGGATCTGATTCGAGCATGCTGGTTAAATTATTTATACTGTATATTTAAGAGGTATATGATACATGATAAATAACAACTCCTCAAGAAATTTGACTGAATTTCGAAATGGTACTCAATAAAAATATTTCCAAGATTTGACTATATAGAAACTTATCCCCAATTCGTCACCTGTAAGAGAATGCTACTAATTACAATGACACTATATAACTAGAAAGTGTATTGATAACAAAAGCACAAGCATTTATAAGTCATAAGCTTAACATTTGAAGTATTTCAAGAGATATGAAGAAAACCACTTGTCTTCGGATGATAACAATCCGATTAGAAAGTCGTTGAGGATAATTAAGGTTTGAGCAGCGATATATGAAGTGTGCAATGGATTTACAAAACGCGCATAAACTGACGTGAAATTTCGTCATCAACTCTAGATTTCCAAACAACTTGAAATGATGTCACCGGCCGCGAATGTTTATTGAATGGAATAATATGTATGGTAAGCCTCAAATATGTGTACATAATTTGTACAATCGTGTAATTTGGTTGTGCAACTACTTTTATCGAGAATTTCGTCGTCAATGTGAAATTTTCATGGAATCTAAATATACGTACATAATCATGTTGGTATACGGAGTAGGGCAACGTTTCTTCACACGACATATCGGTGAACACTAATTTACTTTGTAGATAAGCGATCTATTTAATTTTCGACGCAACAGAGGCCGCGGCTCATTCTACGTCGACGAGATCTACCGCACTCATCGTTCAATCGCTCATTTTACGAGGCAAGGGTTAGTGATCGTAAAGTGGTGAGTTGAATCGAGCCGGATTTAATTTCGTGTTCATATAACGAATTCGACCTGTCCAAACGAACGCTTGTATACTTTTCTATCGCGTGATTTGTAAGAAAATATAATTTCTTTTCATTTTACGAAACGCGTGTTTCATTTTTGTGATCAACTTTGATTCGCAGACCATGGATAACGTTAAGAACAAGACAGTTTTGATCACTGGAGCCGCCGTTGGGATTGGATTTACATTCGCGCAAAAGTTGCTGAAAAATGGAGCGAAGGTAGGTTCTTAAATAAATTATCCATAGGCATTTATCGCGTAACACATAAATCTCCATAGTACGTTCTAATGTGATACAATTTTCAGGCTATCGCTATTCTCGACTTGAGTAGCTCGTCAGGTGCGCAATCCGCTTCGAATTTGGAAAACGAATTCGGAAAAGGCAAAGCAGTATTCTTCCCGTGTGACGTGGCCAACGCTGAACAATTCGCAGGTACCTAGTTGTCCTAAAAAAAGAAGGAAAACGAATCAATTCTTAATACTTACAAAGTCATATAAAAACATTATTCAATTTACACACCAGGCCTGTATCACTCTTTACGTTCTGCTTATAGAGACTTTTAAGAAGGTTGTGAATACGTTCAATGGCGTCGACATTGTCATCAACAACGCCGGTATTTTCAGGGATCAAGCTTGGAAAGCGACTGTCGACGTAAATATCGTAAGTATGAATTATAATTAGAATTCCGCGCACAGGGAGCACGTAGACTAATGGTGTCATTGGTCTATGGCTCAGGCCTGTGATAGATGTTTCAAACGTATGTTTAAAATGTTTCTTATAAATGTCGAAAGATGTAATATTAATTTATTTAGCTTGAACTGCATGAAAAATATTAATTGAAAAATACGCTTTTTAAAAATATATTTTTAAAACTACATCGTGAGTTATCGTTTTAGCTAAAAATTGTGCAACACGGTTGAATTTCAGACTGGCGTGGTTCAAGGTTCGTTGCTCGCGATAGATCACATGGGTAAACACAAAGGAGGCAAAGGCGGTGTCGTAGTAAACGTTGCCTCGATTATTGGGCTCTCGCTCTTCCCAGGATGTCCGGTGTACTGTGCCAGTAAACACGCCGTGGTTACACTCAGTCGCTGTTTACAGGTATCAGTAAATCACCTTCGTCTCCTAGATTCCTAGTTATAAAGAACGTATGTTGAAACGTACGAGTCTCAGGGTATCATACTTTTTTTTTATAGAGATATATTACATCATTAATATTGTTTCAACACTTTCAAACAGAAATTTCATTCTGATTTGTTTATTCAGGAGAATTACCATAAGACTGGCGTGGACGTTCTGGTGATATGCCCCGGCTTCACGAGCACACCGTTGCTTTCTACTTATCAGGATAAAATGCTCGACTTCGTTGAGGCCCCCGAACTCCTGAAATATGTCACCGAGTATCCAGTACAAACGTGAGCACATTTGAATAAACAACTAAGTGTGTAAAAACTGATAAATAATTCCTTCTAACCACCCTTTCTCTTTATCAGGCCTGATAACGTGGGCGAGGCTTTGGTGAAACTCATCCAGAAAGGCAAGAACGGAGATATTTGGGTCAGCGAAGGTGGAAATCCACCCTACGCTGTCGAGTTCGCACCTGTCAAGAAAGTGGAGCTCAACGTTTGATGAGAAGTTCTCGTTTTCCTTAGGGTCTAGATAATTCAACTGTGTGATGATGGAAGGAACAAAGATATTCTCCTAAAAACGACGCAAAATTTAGGGACTGATTTTCGTGTTTGGACTGATTTTGATTACAATTTAATTTATATTTTTAATCTACAGAGTTATGTAACGACAATATTCCTGACTAAATAAATGTAGAATATGGTCAATTGTTGATGACAATTTCCTTGCTTAATCCCTCGACAGATATTCATACGTATGTATACGTTTGCTTTTATATAAAAATTACCAATATTTGCAATCACGATACCCTCTAACATCAAAAAATATACAATATTATGATGGGACAAATTCGTCTCTCGAAGGGTAAAATTGCTTGCTTTATTACCTTTTTATTTATCAGGGAATTTCTAACACTACCATTTCATGTGATCCCGTTTCGAACACAGACGTTCTTTCACTGTGATCACTTTCTGGTACTTTACAATCACTCTACAGTACTCGCGACGATTAGCGATGCTCTGCGACACCTTCGTGATACTTTTCAATCGCTCAGGTCTCACCCAATTCGTAATCCTTCATCCCTAGTCGTGTGACGGTAACAGGACGATCAGTAATCGTAATTACGGACTCCATTTTGCTCGGTATTCTGGAGGCTGCAGATAAAGGGGCGAAATGTGTTGCAACGTCAATGAACCAATAGAAAGAGACTCGAATCGCCGTGAATTCAAAACGTCATGGCGCTGGAGGTCGAAGATCGTGATACGAGACCGAGAGGTTTCTTCCACAACAACTCGGTAAAGAGCATCAAGAACCGAACGACTACCAGTGACAACCGAGGCGTTGCTGGCTTTCCTAGGCTTCTTAAATTCAGTTGCGAAATAGACTTAAGAATCATAGTTACAAGTAGTTATTACATAGTAACAAGAGGTTGTTGAAGTGTTTCGAGAATCATCGAGAAAATAAGAAGAAAGGGAGAAGACAGTGGCACCAGAATCATGCAAATCAAGGATAAGAGAGCGATCGTCACTGGAGCTGCGAGTGATCTCGGTCTGTCCATCAGCAGGGAGCTGCTGCGAAATGGCGCCTCCGTAAGTCGTCGCGTCAACCTCTATTTTATTTTACTTTTACTACCGATTCTACCATTTTCTTATGTGCGCCAATGGGAATTTTAGTTTTAAATAATTACAATTTTATTTTATTTTCCCTTCGAGAAATGAAATTCGACAGAAGTCATCCTAGGATCAAAATGATGTACACGTTAACGAACATCGAAGAGAAGGAGTCGTAGTAGAACGCTGGAGTGTTTTATCTGGCCGAGATAAAATTCATATAGATGCATTGGAAACGCAGAGGAGCGTCTGCTAGATGCAGTGGCTTCTGAAAAAATGTATCGATATCGCTACAAAAGCACCGCAGCCAATCACCGTTTACAGCCAATGGCATTTTACGGACTAAAAGTCGAACGTCTACACATTTGCGATAGCGTGGACAAATTTCTCTGTAGCTAATGTACGCGATGTTTACACATTTCTCATGAACATGATCTGCATGTATAAACAAGGAAATGAAGACAATTCTGAAGGACTTTAAATTGATAGTTTACCTACGAACGAATCTTTTTAATCTCTTGCTTGGGACTGTCAGTTGCCAATTATGATTATTATAGCAAATACTGGTGTTTCAGATGATCGCAATGATCGATATTCGAGAATCCGCTGGGAAGCACGCGATGGACACTCTGAACACGGAATTTGGTCGCAATCGAACGGTTTTCTTCCAGTGCGATGTCGCGAACAATTCTGAATTCGACGGTAATTATAAATAACGCCAGTTGTCATAATTTTGCTTGAAAGTGATTCTCGAAAGGATTTTAATCAGAATCTTCCTTAATCCGCGCAAACTTAGCACGATAAATCTTGTAAAAGGATAGTTATTAACAATTGTACTAAATTGACATATTCCCTATGGCAGATACATTCAAGAAAGCTGTGAGCACACTGGGTGGTCTGGAGATTCTAGTGAACAATGCTGGCGTGATTAATGAAAGCGACTTCTCGAAGGCAATCGACGTGAATGTGGTAAGCGAGAACGTTTCGAAGATAGCATATATAAATACGCTTAAGACTTCACTGGAAATGAAATTAAAAAATTTACAGACGTCGCGAACACGCAAGAGTTGAAGAGATTGAAAATCTAACTAACTAAACTAACTGATCGCGAACCGCCACCTGCTGATAGGTCGTTCTTTTTCTCAGAATACCCTGTCATGATTTTGCTGTAATATTACACCGCGCGGACAGCGATAGATGCTTTTTCTAAGAATGTTCAAAATCGTTACTAACCAATAAGTAACTAGTTTGTGATTTCAGTCACCGACCAATTACGTTTCTTTTGGGTAGCTTCGTGTGTAGACGACCTAACAGTTTCCGAAATATTGGACCACATGAGTTTTGATCTGACATAACGTGACATGAATTTCGGCTGTTCGAAAATAAAAAGATTTTCAATCTTAATACCCTGGGTTTATCATTCCAATTTGTTAATCGAGAACGATTCGCGTAGACCGCCGTGATACGCGGAACGCTTCTAGGAATACAACAGATGCAAAAGTACGCTGGAGGCAAGGGTGGCGTTATCGTCAACATTTCGTCTGTGGCTGGTCTGTGCTCGTTATCGCAGCTCCCAGTGTATACGACAACAAAACACGCCGTGGTTAGCTTCAGTCGTTCGTTCGCTGTAAGTCCTAATTTTTTGTACTTAATTAAGAGTTATGAGTTGTGATTATTCTCGATACAGAGTTAACTTTAGGGGATTGGTTCGTCCTGTAGAAAGCTATCGAAAAATCCTTTTCCATTTTCCAATCCGAAGCTTCGTTACCAAGGTATAAACAAAGTTTTCGAATGGGACTGCCTGCAGGCGCCATTATTACCCTGATCAGCTGATCGCTCCACTGCGCATGCCTGCACTCGCGCGCGAAAACGTTGGTTCATACTTTCGCACGCGCGAAAAATTTTGACTGCTTGTATTTTGACAACGAAACTTCGAACGCTTTCTCTGTATATATATGAAGTCAAGAGGCGAAACCAACTTGGAAGATAGACAGATAAAGTAAACATAGAGTAAAGGGTACTAATTATTTGGTTTTAATTACCGTTTCGTTTCCTGCTTTCAGCAACCCTATCACTATCAGAGGACAGGAGTGAGGATAATAGTTTTGTGCCCAGATTTCGCTCCGATTTCGAGCGATCTACCCGAAGGGGAACCTTTGAAGAAGTATCAGCCCCAGAAGTGGGTCATTTCTTCGATTTTCTCATAGAGACTTCTAAGAAACGTTTTAATTATTTCCATTATTTAAACTGTGAGACGTCATACACTGGATATTATTATTCTTATACTATTTTAATTTGTTTAGAATACAAAGCATCGCTCATGGGCTGGTTTACGTGATCAGATGCGCACAAAATGGGAGCGTTTGGATCAGCGAGGACGGGAAGCCCGTCTATGAGATTCAGCCGTGCGATAGTTTGCCCCAAAAACCCGACGCTTTGGCAATCGACGAAAATTAAAATATAATTAAAGAAATTTAAAGTACAGGAATCTGTAAATACAATTTTAGTATTATTATTGTTGTTATTATTGTTACTAGGATTATAATACGAAATGCATTCTCTCGAGGTTAATAAAAATCATATTTGTAACTCGTGAATCATTATTGAACTGCAATTATGATATTACCTAAACTTATATGTATATATACACCCATGCTTGTATCAGAATGTATATACATTCCTTTTAATAAGATTAATTTATGAACATTGAGGACATGTTATCGTCTCTGTGGTGTGATTTTACTTAATATAAAAAATAAAATAATATACATGGAATAAACATGATATAACATAAAATATAAATATTTATCTACGCCGAGGCTGCTATTCCCAAAATATCGCCCTTCTCATATAATATTTTCGTGAGGTTGAAAAATTGAAAAATTTGTCAATTATATAAGAAGAATGCTTTTCAATTAGAAACTGAAACAACATTGTATCTGTAACCATCAACTGGTAAGGTAGAATCAAAGCTGAAACAGGCAAAATTTTTATAACAAAATTGTTTAATTGTAGAAACGTCACGAATAGATTGTTATATGCTGATTCTATTCTGAACGAAATTATTTTGAATAAAATTGTTCCAGTCAGCCATAAAGCGTCCGAACTGTGTTATCATGACCTCCTATCGGAGATTTTGGATACCCCTCGAAGCAACGACCTTGTGGAGTTTCAATGCTCTCGTGGAACCCTAGGGCCACCATATCAGAGACCACTGGAGACTCGATTAGGCAAAAAACAACTTGAATCGTTTGAACTTTGATTCGTATCGTTTATCAGGCGATTGAAATGGTAAAAACACGATGTTAAAGTTGAAATATTGTGAATTGCGCGTTTCTTTTTACCATCTCTTACACTGGTAGCACTCTCCGCTCTACTGGCGCCGCCATGGCGACATACGTTATGCCCGATGCAATCCACAGTTCAAGTACTCGTTTATAGTTAACTGAAACCGATTAATATAATTAAAATGATACACATTTTAAGTTACAATCAGAAAAATGTATTTAAATAACAATCATACTAAATTGTAAATTATAAGTATTACAAGTGTTTGTTAACGATACCGACAAAAATCATGGACGTGTGATAGATTGAATGGTATCCAGCACGTTTGCATTCTTGCACGCGACAGTAGAAAATCACATAGTCGGCGAATCGACGTGTCACATATGCACAAAAACTTCATCATCGAATCGAGTGAACACGATAACCTATCAACATATTATTCAGCATTTCACGGTGAGGTTGGCGATAATTATGAATGATAGTCTGAAAAAAAGCCTCAGCGATTTCTTATGGTCTTACTCGAAGACTGATCATTTTCTCCAATCAAATACGCGCAATTGATGTTTCCAGGTTGATACGAGAACTCTACAGAATTAAATAGTAATTATTAATTTTACACTACTGAAAAAAATTGTATTACTGAAGAAAGCTTCAAACTACAGCGAATCGTATCTAACAATGTTACACGGATAGACAACGTATCTCTGCCCATAAAGTGTTTTTACAAAGTGAAAAATAAGATTTGACGAACGCATCGATACGAGTGCGCTGTACTTTGAACAATAGTTGCAATTATCTCGCTTCTGTTG